TTGCCTCAACTTTCAGTACACTAACAAAGGATTCTTTTTGTAAAGTATGCAATAGGAAAGAGCACCTATTTGAAAAACCAATATCAAATGAAAGGAATTTTATCGTTTTATGTAACCTTTTCAGTGTGTTTGAGATCATCAAATTTTAATTTTTAGATCAAGTATGCAGAATGTTTTCAACTTTAAAATCAAATATCAAGATCTCGACTCGGATTTTGATGCTTAATAGCTGCTTAAGCTCGGTCGAAGAAAAAACGATTTTTTGTCTATATTTTACAATTCTGTTCTGTACGTTTACTCACTTGGCTTACTTTAGCCTTCATTTGGCACTTTTACCAGCGTTTTCAATATTTATTGGCAATTTCGACCCAAATGGACAAAAAATGCTCTTCCTAGATTCAAAAAATCCACGAACCCCCATCAGGATATTTGCTTAAACCCTCCTTATGACGCAAAAGCGCTCCACTTGAGGACGCTTTCCTGGGCAATTGACGAGAGCAACACTCACAAAAAAGGGCAAATATTAAGAATTTCTTCACAGTGCAAAGCTTTACCAAATCTGATGGAACAAAAACACCTGAAGAGGGACTTAATTGGAAATTTTCAGATGGAATAATCCCCAAGGAGATGGACAATTGAAATTAAATTTGAGATACAATTCAATCAAATAGTTTCACTTTGAATGGACTGAGTGCAGAGGCACAGAAAAAAGGAGCGGAAGAGTTCTTTTCACGTGATAGCCGAAGAGAGAAATGGAATAAAAGAATGGACGAGAAAATTGCTCTAGTGAAAAAGACGAGAAGGGAGATAAAAATGTAAATTAAATTCCAGGCTCTATATCAAATGGATTCCCTTCGATTACCACTCACACCCACGATGGACACATATTTCTCTCATTTTACTACCCATTCGACTATTTGCGACGTGACACGTTCTTTTCTTTTGCCATTGAGGGAAATTGCACCGAGAGTGTCATTGGAAAAGCTCAACCCTTTCTGGGTGGTCTTCACTTTTCCCCAAGCCATCGACTGTGAATATCATGAGATGTGAGTAAATTTTTGCTAGGAGCTTTGCACTTTTATGTACAGCTTGTGTTGTTCAATTTCCCCAGCAGAAAAATTGATATTGATGCAGAAGAGGAAGATGGTAAAATGATTTTTAAGCATGTTACGGATATATTTCGGTTAACGCCAAAGAAAAGCTTTACAGATTATTCTATCTCACACCCTTCATCGCACGAGTATCGTCTGGATAAAACAGAAGAAAATCACAGCAGAATACATATTTTCCGAGAGGAGATTCATGCAGAGAGCGTCAGCAAAAAAGGACTCGCCCAATATTCCAGCTCAATAATATAAAAAGATTAAGGATAATAATATTTATAGCTTATAGAGGACCATTGGATTACAGTTGTATATGAGAGGGTAACGAGAGTCCAAGAGGCCAGAATGAATAAGTTAGGGGTAAAATGTAAGACCATTTGCTTCTCATGCAGTGCATAAAAGAACAATTTTTATGGTATTGTACAAAGGACCACCCATGTTCTCTGACCACATAAAATATTCAGAGTGAAATGCTCAAAATTTAATAATACTAAAATACATGGGGGAGTTTTTTCCGCTCTTCATAAGTCTCAGGGAAAAATTGAATGTCTAGGAAATGTAGAGGATATTTTTCTCCCCAGGAAAATAGCTAATTTTTGCAAATCACCAATAAATCAAATTAACAATAAGTGGATGCTTGAGTGACTATGTCATAAAATACCATGTAAACCTTCATATTTGCGGCAATAAAAGACCTCACAGTCGAGAAAATAATTATAGATCCGAATACAAAAGACGGCTTATCGTGACAAAGGGGGAAAAGAACTGCCCCTTGTAGCAAAAGTAGGTCAGAATTCCGTAATTTCAAGTTTACTTTGCATTACAACTAAAAAGAATTTGTTACTTTCAAAATGTTCCAATGAAACATTTAATTTAATTTAACTCTTAAATTCGGCAAGACAAAGTCATGTTACGACACTCTGAACCTGGCACTGTATAATACTTCTTCCAACGCAGATTTTAATAAACTACATCAAATGGGAATGCTATTTGGAAATGAACGGTGCTAATTATACCTATAACATTCATAGTTGAATTTTCTGGTTGGTTTTATTTCCCTAAATTTTAGCCATTCACAATTATTGTCCCGTTTCTTTCACATACAATCCTTGGCTTATGTATTGCCTCTAATGTGGCCGCGTGACGCGTAAATCGGCTCAATATCGGAGAAAAAATGTGGCTTCTATAAAAATTGCGTGGTAAAAGCCATTGAAAGCGTCACTCATCGAGAAATTATGGTGCTGCTAATAAAAAAAAAGCTGAAGGAATCTTATCACTCTGTGATAGATTCCTCGCGATGACACAGTTTTCTTGCCTCCATGATTGATTCTGCTGCTATTTCCAGGCCGGGCAAAATGTTTCCCATTAATTTTATAATATGCAATTTATTGGAGATTTTCCCCAAAATCCCATACTTGCGCGACGGTTGGGAAAAGTGGATGAATTTCTGCAAGAGCCAGCAAGAAATATTGTGATTTATTCCATAAATGGCTGATTTGTGAGTGTGTGTGGTCAAAATGGAATTTTCCGGATGGATGACGACATAAGGAATCTGGAGAAATTTCCTAGTAAGATGGCGTGCGAACAGTACAGAAATTGCGGAAAATACGCCAAATACTTGAACTTGCATTTTGGGCGCACACTTCTACGTATGGGGAAACAGTTGAGTGGATTTTCCATTTAACCGGCATCTCCGGACGATTATCTCAATCGAAATTGTTAAATACCGCAAGACTCCTCCATCCCACTCGGCAATCCTTACCTATGACGCTGTGTATGAACAATGGCTTTGGGAGTAATTCGAGGAATTACACCCTGTATTGTGGTGCTTATTGTATTGGAAACTTTGCATCGCAAGTGGAAACTATCTTCCACCCGCTAAGAGAAACACTTTTGTTGCATGGCATGTGAAAGAGCTCCACCAGTGCCAATAAATAAAGGCTGTGCTGCAAGGGAAAGGTTGGCAAAATGTCCCTATAAAATATAGAGATGAGAATCCTTGGAAAGGTGAGTGTCGAATGCAATTTTCCACGTGAGACGAGAAGAGTATGACAATAGAGAATACCCACTTGAGCTCAGAAGCTGCGATCTTGGGAGAAAAAGGGTAATAAATTCAAGTGCATTTGCCATTTCGCACCAACTCATCCACAGTCATGAAGAAACCTAATTGCTAAGCCATCGAAAGCTCACCGAGGATGAGGGTTTTAGTGGTAAATTGATTTTCAGCAAATGCACAAAAACACATCCAACAAAACATGGTTGAAATCAAACCCTCAATTTGCTGGATGCACTCTTCGTATGTGTTTAATTTGTCCCTCGCACGCTTTTTTCCCTCTCCCATCAGCAAACAGTGCAGATGGTGTTAAATTGGAACGATGGGAAAAGCCACAGTGTATTTTTTCCATTTTATTAATTTCAAGTGTTACGCTTCTGTGCAGTTGGATTATAATTTTGACTTCCTCTCCGGGCTACAATTTGACCCATTAAAGGCTATTGTTCAAGTGCTTTTTGCTCTCGACATCCGGCATTCACATTTTATTTTTGCGTAAATATTACTCTATTTTTATTGAAAATTTTTCAATTTACTGTCACGTCTGCGGGCCATAAAGGAAGCGGCAAAAATATTGAGACACCATGCCAGCATAGTACGCGGTATATGTGAAATTATAAATTGGAGTAGTCCTTGTTTAATTTTGATAATTGTACTAGTGGTAAACGGCTAAACTCGTTATTTTTGCCGCACACTGTGATTTTTTTTTCACATTCCCTTAACGATTGTAAATGTTTTGTGACCGAAAGGCTAAAATCATTCGTAGATAAATCAACATGAACACAACGACCGAAATTGATAAATTATCACGAGCATTTTCATGAGTCTCAGAGAATTTCTACTGGAAATTTCTCATGAAACTTTCACCAAAGTTTCCATCACTATCGCGAAATGTATTCCCACTATTTCCGCAACTCCCATCAATCGTGTTGGGGAGTGATCTTGTGAATGGGACAAACAGAAACTTGTGCATATGAGGGATTGTTCCACCGCACACTCCGGAGGGCTCAAAGTTGCCTGGGAAAAACTCATAAATTCCCACAGGAGCGCTGAGAAGGGGAGGAAATTGTATTTGCAATTGAAGAGTCTCGCCTAGAGCGCCTCTGGGAAATTTCCTGGTGAAGTTGTCTCAAACTTTTCATGCCATCTTCTCGCGAAGCATTCTTGCAAGATTGTCCACACGAAGATGCATTAAATGCCAGTTAAATGTGATAATTTGAGCGTCTCAAATAGCCATAATTTAAGCCACTTAAGGACTTCTCCACATTTCCCTAAAAATACTGTGGAATGATAGTGAATGAGAAATTGTGGGATTTCTTCATTCTCTCTCAAATAAAACTACATGCATATCTTCGAAAGAACTATTCCGAAACTATGCATATAATCCAATAAAATTTCATTAAATTCTGCACAATCTCGAGTGCGCACTTTTCGGAGGAACGGGAAATGGAGTGAAAACTGCCAATATTTGATAAATAGGAATTTTTCCGCCACACAGAAGAAGGCATCGCGAGGGTGCTTGGTTAGAAAAGGGAAAAAGACGAGCACAAGCTTTAAAGTTTTCTCGAAGCTCATGAGGGAAAAAAAACTTTTCCTCTCCATGGAGTTCGTGTCATGGCTTTTTTTCATTCACTCGCGGCACGAGCATTAAATGAGAAGATAATACAGAAGAGCGTTCACTCTTCCTTCCCGTCGATGAATTATCAGTTATCGGAGGGCGGCAAAGCCGCACCGGAAAGATTCGATAAACTTTTCACACTGTCGAGAAGTGGAGAGCATTTTTCACTCTTGGTGATAAAGTCACATAAAAAAGCTGCTATATTGGCAGAAAAGTATCAAATAATTACATGCAATTTAGAACATTCGCTCGTGGTCTTCCTCCTCCTCCTCAGCCTTTCCCGGCTTTGTCGATTGGCGTTAATTTACTGGTCCAATCACTTTGCTTTTATCACTTGAGAATTATCACTAAGCCTGAAGCAGCGCCAGCGATCGTAAAGAAGCACATTTCCACCGAGTGGAGGCAAAATTCAATCTATCCGGCACTGAACAGTGAAGAATTATCACACATGCAACTCAATTTGCAATAGTGTTCTTTTCGTGATCAGTCGCTATAATGCACTCAGATTTGCCTTCGCGAAGGGTGAAGCTATTCAATCCATCCGCATTCGAGTCACATTGAGTACTGACGAAATTGGGGGTGAAAGCAACTGATTTCCCACCGAAGGGTGTCCTTACCGAGTGCGCGAAAGAGAGCAGTCAGCGACGCCTAGGCATAGAGAGCTTTCTCAGTCCACGGACAGAGCTTTTGGTAGTGGGGAGAGTGAATGAGACAGGCTGGCTTCCCCTGGTTTTCTGAACTTTAATTGATATTGATTGCAGGCAAATTAGGCAATTTACTGATCATAAGTCACTTGTTTATTTGGTCGGTTAAATTTATATGCCTCTCCTTTTACTTTTTAGAGTTTCCTCTGCCTTTTCACACCGCACACTTTCACATGGCCATTTTCCCGCCAAATATCACGAAAAAGTATATTTTAAGGACTTAAAACACCCCCGAAGGTGACTCAATTTCTCACAAAAAGGCAAATTCTTGAGCGATTGTTTTCACCTTCCCTGAAAAAAAATCGATAGAAAATAAACATCTCCATGTGTAAATAAATGTACGAGTGCGTAACACGAAAAGCAGGGGAGCAACATGTGTGTAGGAATGACTAAGAAGAAAGTTGCTCACATCGTTTATTTTCTATCAAATAAAATTCAAACGAATTCCTCAAGTTGTGACTCCCTCACCATGTCAAATGTCAGATTAAAATTTATTCATTTCCGCTCTCAGCCAAAGATGCTCTCCATTTCGAGGGTGGTTTTTACCTCCCCTTATTTTTCACAAAGTCACAATCCCTGCAGAAGGCTTAAAGTGCTCCTCTTCTGGACAATGTGTCAATTCATCCCCCAAATACCCTCTCTGTTCGCTCTTGCATAAAAGCTTATATTGGAAAGTTGTGTAGCTGCACTTTCTCTCCAACGAGATGGCCCTGCAACTCCCCAAAGTTTACTTCTTTGTAAGCTTTATAAATTACGAAGAGCATGTGGAGAAGTCTCGAAAATTTAGAGGGATATCCCCCAAAGTATTTTTACTCACAGAAAAAAGACATGATTTCAGGGTTCGACGCATCAGATCAGGTAAATTACAGAGCAATAATTCTACGGCATGATCACATTAAAATGTTATTATACTTTGCTTTTCTTATTACTTCGCTTTAATAAAGAATGTTTTGATATGTGTAGGAATGAAAACGTCAATGTAATTGGCAATTCACTGAACAAACATGTTAAGATTAATTTTCCATTCGTTCCATTTTCGAAATGCAAGGAACCGAAAATCAAATTATGTCTTTGCTTCCTTCCTTGACTTTGAATCCATTGATATTTTTGAGAGACATAAAATGACAAGTTCACCATACGACATTTGTTCATTTTAACTTCTCACCATTGCAATGTGAGTGCCGAGGAGTGAGTTCAGTGGGCAGAAGAAACGCCAAAAGACAGAGAACCACACATTGCAGAGTGTCATTGTTCTCAAGTGATGCTGTCGTATGGGAGTGCAGGAAAAATACTACATATGAACATATATGGGTGAGAAGTCGAAGGGTGCACACATTTGAGAAATTGGAAACTTATTTGCCAACCCCAACCATTGGCACAATTTCACACCTTTTAAGGCGTCAGCAGGGAACAGTGTGGTGACAAAGAAAACGACTTGGAATTCTACCTCAGCATCAGCAATTTATGCGTCATGAGAATATCCAAGGTGATATGTTTTGTTTATATAAAGAGAAAACTCTTTAGCATGAGGCACAGTATATTCTTTTTGGCAGAAATCTGCTGACCTAATCTTCTTTTCCACGGAAAATTCCCACAATTTATTATTCTTCCGCGAATAAAGCGATGCTTCGCGAGGCACCGCGAGGTTGAATGAAAATTTTATCATTTGGGAGGGAAAATTCTTGAGAGGAAAAAAATAAAAATAAAAAATCCAACTTCCTGCAAAAGCGCGCGAAAAATTCGCCTCAAAGCTTAAATTTGGCATTGAAGATGACAAGCCCACAAGGATGAGAGAATTGTAATATGCCCGATGGCACATTTTAACGAGACTTTCATACTCGGTGGACGCGCATTTCCGGCAGCGCTTCCAAGAAAATCTCTTTCACACACATTACAAAGTAGAAAGTTGAATTGCGCTGCATACAGCAACTTTGTGGTTGAATTTGAGAGTCCTTCTCTTCTTTTTGCGTCCATTTTCATAGCTCGCGCGCGCGAATGAAAGCCAGGCGAAAAGTTCGGGAGTGCCCATCAACATTCCACTGATTCAATGAAGAGAGAAGCACCGGCGAACAAAACCCAGAGATACCATACACACAATTCCATTTGGATGGAAAAGTCTTGCGGACGGGGAGGAGGAAAAAGTCTGCAACTTTCTCGAGATGCCCTTTTTGCTGGGGATTTTAATTAAAAAGAATCTCCATGGATGGAATTTAAAGTATAAACACAATTGAGGGGTGTTTCCATGGGTGGCACACAAATACAACAAGCAAATATGTGTCCAGTTGCAGTGCATCTGCGTGTGTTCGTGTCGCCAACAAGTGTCACATTCAAGGAGCACGTCTCAAAGAGCGTCCCTTTTTATGCACAAATTGCCAGCACCTCACGCATCACGGAATTATTTAATTTGCTCCGTCTGGCTGTCTCTAGCTCACATTTGCGGAGCTTGAGCCACTTGGGAACCTCAAACCCGGCAGTCTGTACCAGACTCCAGGGCGAAAAGAAGACAAGAAGAGCTGCTGAGTGCGAAAAGCTGGGTGTGGGTGTAATTTGTATTCAGGGCACAACATTTAACATTATCATTTTCATGGTGTGTGCAGAGCATGATGGAGATAGAGCGCACGATGAGTAGTCAATTGCAGATTGAATTGTCATCCTCGATGGAGGAGGACCCAAAATGGACCCGACAAGATTCGTGGCACACCAAAAATCCCCATCGGAGACTCAAGATGGAATTGATTGTTTCTCCATTTTAGCAGACACAATAGCAATTTCATTTTGGGCCTTCTGGAAGGAGCGAGAGAGCTAAAATTTACAAGATTGATGACCTGAGATTGCTGTTGACTATAGGAGAAATGTTGCGTCGCCTTCGAGACTTTTAGTGAAAACCCTCCCTCGAGAGTGTCACTTGAAGCTGCTTCCCTTCTGCACATCTTGCAAAATTGCATCTCAAAACCCATTCCCATGGTATTGTGTGTTGGCATCAAATTGACGATGGAAGAGGTACTTGAGGAAAGTGTCTAAATGCATCTCGAGTGGGCGCATTTTCAACGCCTTTCTTTATGTCAGTTTTTACGTAAAGCCCAATACCTCTTGAGATATATGTATGGCTGCAGCTGTATGGAGGCGAGAGTGTGTCAAAAAGGCCGAATGTGGCTGGAATTTTGCATTAAATCCTCCTCAATTTAATCATCCACCACGCAGTTAATTTAATCACGTACCGGATGTGAAAAATCCCCAAATGCCGAAAAGAATGCTGACGCAACCATAAGTCAGGAAATGGGCCCCTTTTTTGTGCGTGTGTTGGTGGAATTTTACGCACTGCCAACAACTTCTGTATGACCTCAATTTTCCCATCATAGCAAAAATGATCACATATTGATTCGCAAGTGGAAATCGTAAAAAGAAGACAGAACCCCAGAGGGAAAAATAATGCATGTCTATGCATAATAAGGCCGCCACTAAAATGGGAAGAAATTTCCTTATGTTTTATGAGGATGAAGTAAGAAGGAAGGGATGTGGGATGTTTCTTTCTGTGCATATGCTTTGCGAAATGCGAGGGGATTTTTCCCAGAGCACTCAGGAAGGAAAATCACACTTCTCGGGAAGAGAGAGAGAGAGCTTGAAGCCCATCAGATACTCCATATCGTGGAATTATGATTTTTTACTTGCATATTGCAGTGGTTTTAGCATTACGAAGGCATTTCACGTCCACAGGATTCGCACATCCGCCACTAATGGGTCTCCCCGACCACCACTAAATGGACTCCTTTGCGTTTTTCCCCACCAAACACGCAACAATATTACACATTTTGTGAATTATGACCACTCAGGGCCAGTGCAAGCTCGCGGGGAGCCTTGTAAAGCAATAAATGGGTGCGACTGACCACCCAGTGACCATGAACGTGTCCTGGACAGAAAAGCTTCCAATTGGGATTATCATACAACACTCTAGCAACTGAGTGAAATTGTATTAGCGCTTCTGGCTTTAACTCTCACAATCTAAAATTGCTGAAAGATTTTCGAGTAATTCTACAGTGATTGGAAATTAAATAGGGACACTTGATGCTCCGGGACATATCGATGTGCTGAAAGTATTCATAATTGTCATTATATTAACGGTAATACATCAATTTAAATTACATATTAATAGCTCAAATAATGTGCGTTTTCCTAGAAACAAGACCCATCAAATTTTTACAAAACCTGTAATCGGATGGATGATTTAAATTAATATATACTAAAAGATATTTAATATATTGCATACAAATTGTTATCCAAATAATCACATGTCTGAAATCTGATACAAAAGCATACTCAGTGCATTGAAGTTCCCCGAAAAAGTATTCACAGTAAAATATAATTATTTATCATAACAAATGCACAATCCATTCCATCAAAGAGAATTTTCATTTAATTAATTCAACTGTGAGAGAGATTTTCATTTAATTGCCGTGATAACAATGCCGAAACATGATTGCGGTTGATGGGATAAAATTCTGCATACTGTGGTGTGAAAATTATGTGCATAATAAAAACGCTCCTCACCTGTTCAACCCCATTCTATCCACTTACATTGCGATTAACTATACAATTCCTTCTCGTCAATTTGGTATGCACATCAAATAAATCCTTCATCCGGGGACGCGAATAATTATGGTGGCATTTTTCGCTAAAAGGCCATTAGAGAGGATTTCGCAAGAAAATGATGCAATTCAATATAATTGCAGTGTGGCGGGAAAATTGGTGCTTCAGGGTGCAATTTTGATGCATTTCGTGGCGCAAAGGATGAGAGTTGTGTGTGTGTGAGTGTGTCGGTGTGTGTGGAGTGAATTTGACTTGAGCAGAAGAGCCACAGCGATTGTTTATATTGTCAAGCCTGAATATACAAACCGATGAACTCAATGCTGCACAATTATTCTGTATATGAACTTTTGTCGCTGCTGGGCTTTCTGCTGCCTCAACCACAGCATAGCGACAATGGGGAATGAAGATGCACCAAAAGAGTCAAATAGAAGGACTGGAACCAGTAATATTCGCCCATATTTGAATTCCTCGGTCAAGAGAAATGACATCAATGGATGGGAAAAGTTGCAAATTTCACCAAAAAGAGATTTTGTGGGGGAAAGTCATGCAAAAAGTAACATATTTGACAGTTGAAAAGCCCTCAAGATGGAATTTTTCAATATTGAAATACACCAGAGGGAATTCCAAAGAAAAATTCCACAATACATCATTCCGTGCTGCAAGGAATTTCCTGGTCAATTCCTCAATATATGGAAAACTGAGAATTTGTATATTTCCTGAAAATACTTCGTAGGATTTCGACTGGAAAACTGTACATGAATTAAGCAATTGAAACGCGATTTGGGCCGATATTAATATTAATTTCAGATACTGTCAAGGGAAAGCTGTTATAATTCGTGATGTACTATTCCACTTATGCAAATGAATACAAAATACTAACTGACTTAATCCTTGTCGAAAAAGGCGACGGATTGACTCAGGTGTGGTCAGAAACATCCCACATTCCAGTAAAGAGGATGCTTTCATTGCTTCCCAAATGAGTCGACACACATTCAAGTGCCGAGGGCGATCCAATTGTGGATTTGCTCACAGTGTGAATGCGTGCCATGAGAGAGTGACACAATCAATCAGATACTGTGGGTGGAATTGTAATTGAATTTGATGAGCAGGAAAAGGCACGGATAAATTCAATTGACACTCTTGCTTTCAGTGACTTTTCGGTGAGTGAGAAAATCAAATAAAGCCCGCCCCAAAGACTCTCACAATACGCGCAAATCAGGCGGTATGTGGTAATCAATTGACATCGTCATGTGAGCTCGAAACCCAACATCCTCAGTGGATGTGAAATAAATGTTCGACTGTGATTTTTCCCTGACTTTCCACCAGCGACTTGCGCCCAGTATGAGATCATAATTCACTTTTCTCAACTTCTTCCAACCCTGTCGAGCATTGACAAATAGAAACACTGACTCTCGGGTAAGCTTTGCCGGGTGGGAAAGCTCTCAGGTGAGTAACACGACCCACTCCATCTCCTCGATGGAGATTTTCCACACGCTGTGGCAACGGAACAATAATACACTCATCCGCTTGAGGATCCAATTGAATTATATCCCTGTCAAATAAATGCACCAAATCGAATGGCTTTTGGGGTTTAAGCGCAAAAACATTCAAGTCACACTCGTCAAAATCTGTCAAAGTAGAAAGTATAATGTACATATGTATTATTGTGCGCAAAATTTTCTCACGATCGTTTGTAGGATAAATTTGCCATTGGCGGAGATGGAAATCAAATTATCCTTGGGTTGATTCACTGAAGAGAGTGATATGATATCCCTACAACTTGTGGAAATTTGCCACAGAGAATTTCTGTGACAGAGGTGGAGATTTTGGCAAAAACTGTACATGGATTGTAAAAGTAGTTGCTATGAAAAAATCAAGTTCTTCACAAACTGAGAAATACACGAAGTTTTTTCTCGAAAACACATCAATGTACAAATGTTGCCTTTAAGATATAATATTGTAGCATGTACACCACACACTGTGAACTATCTCCCCTTGCAAACTCCACATCGACTTCCAAGAGAAGAGACTCATCAGAATGAAAAATTCAATTGCTGTGAATTGAGTGAGAAAAATAAGATTGATTTTGATATATTGACGAAGGGAAACAATTTATATATTGTTCGGGGTGAGATTTTTCCAAACGCGTGCCAATTTCCACGGACGCAATATTCAAAAGTATGCACAGATCAACTCCTTTATTCCACCCAAGGAAAATATTAAAGTCATCTCATCCACAAGGCGCCTCCGTGGCATTCCATACTGTCTTCCGGGGCGCTAAAGCCATCCGGTTTAACAGTGCGATATTGTCGTGGAATCACATTAGAGTTGCACATACATTTTCCGAATTCCATTGAGAACATTTTCCCCGGGAAGCTGCCTTGAAAGCGTCACACAACAGCAACAAATATTCGGCGAAATTAGATTTTGCCAAAGTGAAAATTTTTACTCCGACCTTTAAAGGAGGGGCGACATCTCCAGATTCCGGGCATATGTGGAGAATGTTTTGTGTGGGCGAGGATGAGAAAAAATCGGCGAGGACGAATTTTCAAGTGTTTAAGTGGCAATATAGCCTTTGATGTGGCTCTGCACTCACCTCGCATGGGGTGGAAGATAAACAGGACAGAAATATGATGGGGATGCTCAATGTTTTCTCATCGAAGAGTGCCTTTCACCATCGACGAGACACTCATCCTTGGCGGATGTCTTCATGGGGATTATATTGGGGCGAGAAGGAAAACCACCGGAAGGTGAAGAGGAAGATGGGAATTATATTTGATACTCAAGTCACGAAATACAACGGAAATCGCATTATTTCCTCCTTGTATCACTCTGTCAGTGACACTTCGCCAGTGTCAACAGAAAATACCAAAATACATACAAATAACACACTGCAATTATGCTAATATGTATGACTTGTTTCTTCCAAATTATTATTATTAATATTCAGCTTGGTTGAAACAATTTTCTGCTAAAGTCACCCAAACAAATTGAAACGAGTTTTAATTTCCAAATTAACATTTCTCATGCAACTCACGAATCTTGTCTTATTCAACACCAAAAATCTCTCTTCAATTTCGATTAAATCAGCTTTTTCAGTGACGAAAGAATTTGGCAATAATAAAGTCTTCGCAGCATCTGACCAATGCCGAATTGCACGTCTTCTCCATAACATGTTATTCACTTTTGCATAAAACTCAATTGGATCTCGTGTGAGTCTCTGAGATTATCCCAATCCCATTTATGCCCCGTGATTTTCCTAATCGAACTTCTATGTCCGCCCCGCCCATTCGCAAGTCATCGCGTGAGAAGAATACGATGGGACACGCCGGAAGTATCGTCATGAGGAATATTAATAAATTCCCATTTTATTGCAGGAAATGTGAAGCATCCTCCAAATTGTCGGGTTTGAGAGAGTGCCAATAAAATCGAGGGTGTTATTTGCAAATTTCCACCATCTTCTGCCACACAATAAATTCAATAAAATCACACACACACACACACACCACAGAGGGGGAGAAAAGTGCCCCATTAGACTCGATAACCCTCCCTTTATTTGCTTACTTCGTGCTGACTTGAAAAATTTCCATCACCAATTTGGTCAAACATTTCGCCCATCTCCGGTCGGTGGGTGGGCGTGGACGGAGATCTCTGTGGCAATGAATCCCTCATTTTTCCACCCCCGCGCCCAAATGTGTGAAAACATTTCCCCACACACGGAGTCAAATGAGTCTGATGTGTCCTGCTGGAAATCTTCATATGTGACTTTTCCCTGGGGTGTCCAAATCGACACACACATTGTTTTTACTGCGCCCCATGTGGCCACCCTCAATATCCTGCCGCCCATGTTATACCCAATCGGTCAGTTGGGGTGAAAAGTCGGATGAAAATGGGAATAATTGCCATCACGTTTCAAAGAGTGAACGAAAATTATTAAAAATTAATGATAACTCTTTATTTCATTTAAATTGTCATCTCCTGTAGCAAAATATAGATAAATATATCAAAAAGTGAAAATCGATATCACTTTTTGCTGAATTTTTAACGCAGTTTTGCACATTTCCACTGAGAAACCCCCTGTATAAAAGGTCCTAAAATGCAGCGATCGTTATTCTCTCGGTTGCATTGAACACGATTTAACTTTCAGCTTCATTTCTCTGCCTTTTTACCCTTCATCCTTATTGTAAGTAAAACGGAGTGGGTTTGCAAGAGAGTCTTGCATTTCTGGGGCGCGGCGGAATCGAGATGGAAAAATGGAATGAGACAAACGAGCCAATGAAATTGATAAATGGCACAAAACAAAAATTCACTGAATTGGAAAAGTGGCAGTGTGGCGAGAGTCATTTTCTGGGGATGCTGAGAACACGTGTTCGTGCCCAAGTTGGCTCTTTTTTGTGCCTTCGACATTCATTGGAATTTCTAAGTCAATGACGTACTTTTTTGGCATATTGAGATAATCCAAAACATGTTTGATATGGACAACGAGTGAAAATCTCTATTTATATCCGTCAGACTTGTACAAAATATTCAAGATTGGAGGGAAGAGAAATTTTTGCATTGTTGAAAAGTTTACAATTTTCCTCAACTTAGGGTCAATTGAATAGCATACAAGTGACAAAACTTAGACAGAAGCAGACATCTTAGAAATTTCATAACGAAAAACTTTACAAAGCTGCCAAAGTAAGAAACTCTCTCACTGACAATTCTGATCATAAAGTGAAGAGGAAAGGCTGTACATGCAATTTTGAAGACATATATGTCTTGGAAAAGCACAAGAACACTTCATTTCCTCATTACTGTAATTGAACCAATGAAGTGATTTGATCAATTTAAATCAGGAACTACCAGATGAAACGGCATCTTAATTGCCATTTAATTCACTACAATGGCTTAACCTATGAATTATCCTAATGCTGTTGTGTCACGAAATGGAAATCACTATTTTCACAGTAAATTTAATCAGGAGAAAGCTCTCATCACAGTCGTTTATATTCAAATCAGAGCTTTCTTAGTGGAAATTTTCCCCTTACACAACCTCAGCGCCTCTTTGGGATATTTTGGAAATTTGATCTTGTTTTGACATTTTGGCAGTGTGAAAATCATGGCTTGTCGAAAATTGCTTGGAAATCTGGGAAAACTCCCTCGCGTGTCGGTGAGAGCCGCTTCTGGACAAACCACAGGAACCTCCTATCTTGAGCCTGATAGGGAAAATGAGAAACTACCCACTCACACGGGACAGGTGAGCTTTTTCTATGGGACCCCACTTTGGACCTGTTACGCAAACAATTGTCCCTGTTTTCATTCATTTTCATGCCTTTTCGTGCTGTTTTCAGGTGTTTTCCGACGATGACTACAGAAATGTGAGATTCACAAATGCAACACGATACGTGAACAAGAACTTTGCCATCGATTTGATTGATGAAGTGCCTCCGAAGGAGTGCACAGAGCGGGTTGTTTATTGTGATGGGGGCGCAGGACCTCTGGGACACCCAAAAGTCTACATAAACTTGGTAAATTTACTCGAATTTGGAATTGTTAGATGCATTTGACTAGACAAACTAAGCATGTGATTTTACAGGACAAACCGGGCGCCCATGCTTGTGGCTATTGCGGTCTGCGCTTTGTCAAGAAGGATCATCACCATTAGAGTGTCAGCAGTGGTGTTAGGATCCTGAAACAATAGTTTTCTTGTAAAAATATGGCTTAGATTGAAAAAAATCGCGGAAAATCTCAGCAATTTGTTGTTTTGTTTTGACCATATTTGACACTTCGACGTCTTACCGATGAAAGCGCCCCCTGACACAATCGTACATAAAAACTTGTTTTTCCTTTCTGCGACATAAAAATTGGCCAAATTTTCGTGAAAAATCACTGGAGTTTTCCAGAAAATCAGTGTGATATTGGCGTGTAGAAGTGACTGAACACCTGATGGATCTCTTCAGGAAGTTTCTGGGACTGAACACGAGTCAGGAGGATGGAAATGACAAAGGGTGAAAGAGTCTTCCGGAGAGGCTGGACTGGGAGACTGACTTGTAAATGTTTTGTAGGAAGAAGAAAGGCCATCGGAATAACTTCTTGAAGCCCACCTGGTACGAGGAGAACGAGACGGACGATGAGCTGCAGGATGAATTGTTTGACGGGAAATTCTTCGGTCCGCAAATCTTTGCTAATTCTGCTGACCTGGAGAAGCACTTCGATCGTCACTTGCAGGAGCTTTTGAAGACCTTCGATGACCATGAGGCCGGGAATAAACTGAATGAGGATATGGGTAGGTTCCCATCCATCTGGGGCTCGTTGGAGTCAAAAGCAGTGGACGACAAGGAGTTTAATCCTGCGAAAATGAAGGAAATCCTGAAGTCCGTCACTCCGCGGACACCAAAGAAGCGTCTCACGGACGAGGAGACAATTATGGCACGCATTCATGGCACTGAACCAAAGGAAGAAGAGTCCAGGAAGCCCACTCGCCCGAGATATGTGCCGAAAATGACTCCAATGCATCCCAACTTTGAGTCCTCCGTGCCGATTCCCGGTGCCAAAATCTTCGGCCAGAGCATCATGACCGAGACGGTGAGGAAGCCCGACGGCTCTGTAGAGTCTCGACGCGTCGTCAGGGATATGGATGGAAATGTGAAGACTACAATTTCACGAACTGTCGACGGAGAGACGAAGACCGTCACCACGTTCAGCGGAAAGGAGCAGGAGAGTGAGAAGCGGAGCGAAGATTCGGTGCTGGACAGTAACTTCTTCCTGTCGCCCAGCGGATATACTCTGCCCAGAAATTTGTGGTGACTGCGAGATTCCAGGCGGAGCTCTGAACCTCTGGCTAGTAGAATTGAGACTAGTTTCCCAAGTAGATGACTTCCTCGCCACTCCTCCGGATTGAGACGAACGGCTTGCGTGTGATACAGTTGAATTGAGATGCTTTGTTATGGAGAATAAAGTCCCAAATGACTCCTGAGAAACCTTAAAATTACTGCTCTTCCTAAACAAGCTCTGAATCTGTCTGTGTTGCGTTTCATAGGGAAATCAGTGGAATAATTAAATTTTTGTTGGAATTTCAGGATTTTTCATGCAAGTTCTGCAGATTTTGTTCTGGGGAAGGACAAACTAACCATTCCTTTCATTATGCATAATGTAAATTTGACGAAATTTTAATTATTCTACTGCTGCTCAGAAATTCGTCATAGTCGAGAAAATTTGTTCAATTAAAAATCGATTTATATTCAATCCGTTGAGATAGTAATGATTTTTTTTCAAGTGGCCTGGGATTGGATTTTAAGCATTTTGGCTTTGAGGCGCTTCTACACGTGGTTGCTGAAAACTTCTCTTTTCCACTTCATTTCTAAAATTTATCCTACAGCGCACCAAGGAAGACTAGACAAGTTTATTTCATCGTGATCTGTTGACGAAGTAAGACGTGTATGTGCAAGTGTGCATCATGAGCGGAAAGAGCAGAAGCAAGAAAAGTGCGTCCACTTCTAAGGCCAATCCGAAGAAATCTGCGATTCGGCCAAGTGTGACTTTCTTCGATTTGCCACTTGAGGATGTCATCGTGACGCACGTCGCGAAGCACCTGGATGTGCAGGACGTGTACAATTTCTGGCAGTGCTCCAGGAAATGCCGGCCGATGGCCGAGCAAATGTTGCGAGAGATTGAGATTGCCGACATGCGGAGAATCGATGAGCGCTGCAATGACGCTTTCTGGATGGCATTTCTACAGAAATCTCGGCGTCTCAGGGAAGTCACCCTTCATCGTTACACAATGCTGGATAAGCACTTCTTCGAGCTGCTGAACAGTAATCCTCACATCGAGAAGTTGGATATCAGTTACTCTGTCATGATGTATCACGGGCCCTACGAGTTTGCCTTGGAAAACCTTGTCAGTCTCGAGATGTACGACGCATCCCCGACCGAACACTTCATTCTGCAGATTGCCAAGCACAGCAAACTCAGGAAAGTGGACTTTTCCTGGGTGCGTAGCCTCTCATTCGCCAACATCAGCGAATTCATTGAACAGCAAACGCGACTGAAGGAGCTTCACCTGGTCGGACTGAAGACTAATGATTCACCCATTCGAGACATCTTGATGATCATTAAAACTGCCTGTCGAGACTTGGAGCTATTGAGCTTCGACGCCAAGCGATACATGGTCGCCCATAATAGATACTACTTTATTGGACCAGCTCTGAGGTAAGAATTGATTGAATTTGTCCCATCAATGTGACTAATATTCTATTAAAAAACATCTTTTCAGCGACATGGTTCACAGTCCGTCCAAGTTGAAGAAGATCATGATTTACAGGAATTTTGCACCGGCTACAGATTGGATTGCCGAAAACATGCGACTTGGACACGTGAAAATAGTTTTCTGTGATGCATGAAAGCGTCGGTTACATTTCAAAATGGAATTTATTGCGGCTAAACCTTTCAACAATCGCCAGGCAGTCATGTGTCAATTTTCTATTATTTGTTTACGTTTTCATTCATAAAGTATCTTCTGTAAAATGCTGAAAAATTGGGAAAATTGGTGTCGGTTATGTGCGAATATTGACTCAGATGATGTAGATTTAGGATGTAAAAAGGAATCAATCGACGATCAGCTGGAAATAGTAAATAAACACTTAATGCTTTCTGTAAGAGATTGTTTTTACGTTTTTCATAATTTCTGTTTTTTTCCATGACGAATTCACAATTTTCCATAATTTTCTAGCTCTTGCCCTTCGGTGGATGCAAATTGGGCATTTGCAGTGATTGCAGGAGTTTCGTAGAAAAGCTGGATGATTTCAAAGATCGATGCTTGAGGGCAGATAAAATGTTTGAGGAGTTGCGGAAGGATAATGCAAATGATCTTGCATTGATTCGCTGCAAGCATGGCTTTGATATCGATGGAATACCCAAAGTTCAGAAAGAAGAATCTCTCGGAGAAGAAAATCTCTTTAATCCTGTCTGCTCTGATCCACTGGAGTCAAAATTTGAGATTGCAGTTGAGAAGATGGAAGTCTGCGTTGTCAAGAAACGTAAGTGATGTACACTCATAGCGGCCAGACTGAACAATATTACTCTAGATTAGACTAAGCACTCTTATTATGTTTCCATTGTCCTTTTAACGGAAGTCGTCTGAGTTTTCTAGCTTTTTCAAATAAAGCAACTTTCTTTTTCAGGCGGTCGGCCTAGGAAAATCAAGAGGAACACAGACAAGAGAACTGCAGTGCAGTCAGAAGTAAAAAAGGAGTTAGTGGAGGCACTGGGAGATGTGTGTTCAGCTGTGAAGAAGCGCCGAAGAGCCAAGCAGAAGAAGGAGAACATTTGCGACTTTTGTTCAAGGAAGTTCCTTTCCCCGTGTTTGCTGAGGGATCACATCTGGTCGAAACACCGCCAGGAGGAGAGACCCTACGTTTGCTCTGAATGCGGGAAGCGTTTCACAACGAAGGGAAACTTACAATCTCATATGACCATCCATATGCCCGATGAGATGCGACTCATTTTCCCTTGTCCGTACTGCGAGAAGAAATTCAGCCAGAAGATTTGCGTGGAGGGTCACATTACTGCCTGTCACGATCGTGATAACGCGTTCATTTGCGAGGAGTGTGGCAAATCATGCAACACTAAAGGGGCGCTGGGACAGCACATGGAGACACACATCAAAGAGTACAACTTCCAATGCCAGATCTGCTCGAAGAAATTCAAGACGCGACTGCAGGTCAAGAGACACGAAGTGTGCCACAGCGCTGAGGTGTTTTTGTGTGGAGAGTGTGGCCTGAAGTTGAAGAGCAAGAAAACTCTGAGGATGCACAAGTTGGTGCACTTGGACGTGAAGAAGTTTAAATGCAACTATTGTGGTAATGAATTCAAGCGCTCCAAAACCTTAAAAAATCATCTCTTGCTGCACTCAGGACTACGACCGTATGAGTGTCAGTTCTGTGATAAAACCTTCACATTTGGTTCAAGTTTCCGGGTGCACCAGAAGAAAGTTCATCCGGCGGAATTGGCGGCTCTGGAGGCTTCCGGAGAAGCTGCTAAAATAACTAAATTGCCACGACTGGAGCAACTGCAACCCAAGTAAGTCCATAACTTCGATCTCATATGATGTAAAGTTGAGAATAATATTTTTTCAGGCATCCAATGATGGTCAATACATCAGCTGTATGAAATAAACTGATCTTTGAGATCCGTTATTTTTCAAAAGTAAAACGAAACCGTTCATTTACAAAACACCCGAAATGTAGAAAAATTCTGAAGTGTCAACAAAGATTTTCCCAGTTCGCACTTGCGAGTGATTTTATTAAGAAAAATGCTGGGTAATTGGAAAAATTGGTGTCGTTTATGTGCAAAAATTGACTCTGCAACAGATGAAAGTGTAAATAAAAGAAAATCTTCAGGAGAACTTCTGGAAATTGCCAATAAATACTTCACGGTTTCGGTAAGACACTATTCAGTACTTTTTGCCCCAAATGGTTTATTTAAATGCTTGTTTTCTGGTTGACACATGTTAGAAAACGATAAATATACTTTTCATCTTAAAATTCTTCTAAAAATTCAGCAACTATGCGTGTAAATCATTCTAAGTTTTTCTTCAACATGAAACCTTTTAATTGTATTATAGTTGCCTGAGGAAAACTTGCTTATCTGCGATGATTGCTCAAATTTCCTGCTGAAGCTAGAGAACTTCGAAGAGCGTTGCCTGAAGGTGGATATAATGCTAAAGGAGATTAGTGAAGATCAAAATATGCAAGAATCTAATCTTCAGGCCATGCGCATAAAGTATGGTTTTGATGTGCCAGAAGAAAAATATCAGATTCAACTGTTAGAGATCCGGAAAGAAGAGGATGACTTCTCTGACGATGTGTACTCGGATCCTCTCGATCAGGATATTATAAAAACGAGGGAAACAGTTGTTGTGAAGATGGAAACCCCCGAAGAGGAAGATTCAGAGAGCCTCAAGAAGCGTAGGTATCAGATAAATTCTATACGATGGTTTGTTGGTAAAGTTTTTCTTTGTGTGTCTTCAGGTGGTCGTCCTAAGAAATTAAGAGAGTCCATTAAGAGAAAACTGCAGGAACAAGAAGACATCGAGTCTCCGAAGAAGAGGAAAAGAATGTGGAAGGGAGACGGCGAGAAGAAGCACATTTGTTCCTATTGTTCGAAAGCTTTCAGCCGGCAAAACGTGATGAAGGATCACATCTTGACGAAGCACCGCAAGCAGGACATGATTCACGCTTGCTCGCAGTGCCCGAAGAGATTCGCCACCAGCTACAGATTACGACTCCACGAGGCCACACACTTGCCGGACGCCGAGAAACTCGTGCATCCTTGTCCGTTCTGCGACAAGAAATTCAGCCAGAAAGTCGGCGCCGAAGTGCACATCAACGCCATGCACTTGGGCGAGAAGTCCTTCACCTGCGAAGAGTGCGGAAAGTCTTTCAGCACGAAAGGTGCTCTGACAGAGCATAAAATCACCCACACGGATGAGCGTCCTTGTCAGTGCTCATTCTGTCCGAAGAAGTTCAAGAATCAGCGGCAGCTGAAGCAACACGAAAGCAGTCACAAGGAATCTGGCCACGCTTGTCCGCACTGTGGCTTAAAGCTGAAGAGCATCGTGACTCTCAGGATGCATTTGTTGGTGCATTCGGACAAAAAGAAGTACAAGTGCAACTATTGCGGCAATGAATATAAGCGTTCAAAGACATTTAAGGTGAGCTTTTTTTCGCATTTCTGCAGCTCATAGTTTTGTATTATAGTGGATATTTACTTTTTTCATCAGAGTCACTTGATTCTGCACACCGGCCAGCGCCCGTACGAGTGTCCTTTCTGTGATAAAACTTTTGCGAATGGATCTAATTGCCGGAGCCACAAGAAAAAAGCGCATCCAGCCGAGCTTGCGGCTTTAGAAGCTACAGGTAAACAGAAAGTAACGATTACCCCCAAATTGAAATACTTGCAGCCTAAAGTTGCAGAGTTTGCTAAGGAAAATGAACGACAGTAGATATGTTATTTTTAAGTTATTGACTATGAATAAAGGATAATGAGAGAACCTGTCAATTATCAGTGAATACGAAACCTAACAAATCCCTGAAAATTGTAAACAAAGTGTCAGCGAATCTCAGCAAATTTAGAGAAAAATGCTGAGAAATTGGAAAACTTGGTGTCGTGTTTGTGCCAAAGTTGAATTTCAAGGAAGTCAAGATACAGAGAATGCAGTTGAGAGAACCAGAAGCAAACTAGACATCGTCAACAAATATTTCATGATTTCTGTAAGAACTTTATCAGGAGAATTTGCCAAATGTCTGATGATTTGTCTTTACAGCTGCTTCCCTTCGCTGGGCCACAAACGTCGATTTGCGAAAGCTGCAGTGAATTTCTGTCCAGAGTTGATGCATTCAAGGATCTCTGTATGAAGACAGATGAGATGTTTAGAGAGTTGTTGTTGCAAGAGGAGACTTCAGAGGCATTTCTTACATCTATTCGCATCAAATTCGGCATTGATATTGAGATAAAGGACGACAAATTCAGTATTGACACCGAGATTAAGGAGGAAGAAGAGTCGGTTGATGATTTTGATCCTCTCTTCGATTGCAAAGTTGCGAGTGAAGTAGAGCAGGACGAGGAGAAGACTGACAAGACCAAATCTGATATCGATGGTCTTGTTTGCAAGTTCTGCTCAAAGAAGTTTGCCCGGAAATTGTTGCTTTATGAACATGTGTTAACGAAGCACGAGCCGGGCAAAATGATCCACAATTGCGGTGTGTGCTCCAAAAGGTTCTGCTCAGAGCGAAGACTACGTAAACATCAAATCACTCATTTGCCCAAGAGTGAGAGGATTTTTTATCCATGTCCACAGTGTGACAAGAGGTTTAGAAGCAGGGCAACGATGGAAGTACACAGGAAGGCACTTCATATTGAAGGCAAGAAATTCATTTGTGACCAGTGTGGGAAATCCTACTTGACAAAGTCCGGCCTGAATAAGCACAATATTAGTCACACGGAGGACAGAACGTGTTCTCAATGTCCACATCTAACGTTTGCTCACAAACGACTCTTCACTGACCACATAAAGACACACCAAAAGCTTAAGAACACAAACGGGAGTCAGTGGGAACGACAATTTGTCTGCGCTTTCTGTTCGAGGGTCTTCTATCGTAAATTCTCCCTAAGAGATCACATTTTCACGATGCACGTGAAGAGCGGTCTGGCCTTTGCCTGCTCTAAATGCCCCAAGCGATTCGCCACGAACCGTAGTTTGTATTTTCATGAGCGCACACACTTGCCAGATGCAGAGAGACGCATTCATCGATGTCCCTGTTGCGAGAAGATGTTCCTGAATAAGTCCGGCTTGAAAACTCACATTGATGCAGCTCACATTGGCGAAAAGCCCTTCACGTGCGAAGAGTGTGGCATATCATTCGTCACCAAAGCACGCCTCACTGAGCATCAAGTTGCCCACAGAAAAGAACGACCGTATCAGTGCTCGTCCTGTTCCAAGGCATTCAAAACTCTGAAGTATCTGAAGAACCATAAAAAATGCCACGAAGTCGAAGGTGTCGTTTGTCCACATTGCGGACTAACACTGAAGAACAAAGCAACTCTCAAGCTTCATTTGGTTGTCCATTCGGATGTGAAGAAATACAAATGCCATCACTGTGGAAATGAGTACAAAAGAGTCCAAACATTTAGGGTAAGTTGCCATGAAGTAGCTAAAATACGGATTTTACATTATAATTTATTTCAGGATCACCTTATATCACACACGGGACAGCGACCTTATCAGTGTCCTTTCTGTGATAAAACCTTCGCGAATGGATCAAACTACCGCAGTCACAAGAGAAAGGTGCACCCAGCCGAAGTGGCTGCTCTTGAAGCGGCAGGAGAGCAAATAAGGCCATCAAATATCCCGCGACTTGAGCACTTGCAACCGCAATCTAAGAATTAGTGTATTTCCATAAACTATAAAGCATTCCACCATATGCAATCATATTCTTTCCCTCTCTCCTTCGCCTGCAAGTTGATTGAATTCCGCAGATCGTCATTTCAACCCTTTCAATTTTTGGATTTGCAATTGGTTGGATTTTCTGAACAGGGTCAGGAGAGGTCATCAAAATGTAAACAAATCGCTGCAGAAATTTGAAGTGGTTTTTGGGCGTAAATCTAAAAATTAGACATTTTAATGAGTCTTCGCATTCTTTTGACACTTTTCCATTTACAATTGAGATACTTCACACAGTGCTGAATTGTTTAGCCAGCGGCTTTCAACTATTACATGAAGACTAAATAAATTCACATTATTTTGGTTGAAGATTTTCACTTCTAGATTGAGCTGCAGACGCTTCTAAAGCTGTCATCTCAGCAGGATGAGCCTTTCTTTTATGGCTCAAACAGTTTGAACTGTTGGCAAATGCTTTATCACAGAATGGACACTCATAAGGACGCCGACCAGTGTGCAGAATAAGGTGATCCTGCAATTCAAACGAATATTGGTAAGCTAATAAATATTAGGCCACCTAACAAAGATCTTACTCGTAAAGTATTGGCACGTTTGTACTCATTTCCGCAGTAATTGCATTTATACTTCTTCACATCTGAATGAATGACCATGTGAAGCCTGAGAGTTCTCTTCGTGTTGAGTTTCGCTCCGCACTCTTTGCATTCATAAATCGTGTCTCCGTGAATGTCCTCGTGTCTCTTCAATGCCAGGCGATCCTTGAACTTCTTAGGGCAGAAGGAGCACTGGAAAGTGCGATCGTCACTGTGAGTGATCTGATGAGCGGTCAGTTGGCACTTCTTGCGGAATGTTTTGCCGCATTCTTCGCAGATGAACGTCTTGCTGCCGATGTGAATGATTCGGATGTGAGTTTGCATGTTCTCCTTGGCGCCAAACTTCTTTCCGCAATGCGGACAAGGATAGATGTACTTCTCCTCGTCAGACAAGTGAGTAATCTCGTGCACTTTCAGTTTCTTGTTGGTGGCAAATCTGCGGGGACATTTTGAACAAACAAAAGGCAGTTCTTCCTTCGAGTGCTTTTCGCGAAAGTGAATCTTCAGAAGATACCGACGACTGTAGACTTTGGAGCAAACTTCGCAAACACATGGCTTTTCTTTCACTCTTTTGCGATTCTTCGATGGCTCGCCAGTTTCTTCATCCGACCTCATTTCATTATAATTGCATTTACTTCTCCGAGATTCCAACTTGGCGACTGATTGTTGAGAATAATGTTCCTGGTCTAATCTCTTCGGTCTTCCACCTAAAATCGGAAAAATATGAATTTGGAATAGGTATTTCAAATCCTTTTCAGTAAGATAAATACGTTTTTTCGGCACTGGCGGTGCTTCAAGTTCAAGAACTTCATTCTTGACTCTGATTTGCACATCTAAAGGATCCGGACAAAGGTCCACAAGGGTGGTGTTGGTGTCTAGTTTAGAATCATCATCACTCTGAGATTCCGCAAGGAAAGTACTGTATTTCTGCAAGAGAACCAATCAATACTATAGGATTTTACAATATAAAATCCTCACTTACAATTTCTTCTGCATCAACTCCGTACTTGAAGCGAATGGACTGAAGATCGGAGTCTGAAGGAGAGTTATTCAGGATCAATTCTCTAAACATTTGATCAGCTTTGGAGCACTTATCGCCGAATTCCTCAAGTTTGGTCAGGAAACTACAGCATTCATTGCACATGGACAATTGCATTCCTTCCAAAGGAATAAGCTGAAATAGACAATTGACAGGGTTTAGAGAATGAACATAAATATGTATTTTTACCATTTCTACATTTTTATCCTTCTTCTCGTGGATTTTTCAAATCTTAATTATATGTCCTAAAAGTATTACTTTTTTGCCAGTTCCATTAGAACAAGTGCAACCAATTGGGAGTAAAGTAAACGAAGAAAACTTACGGCCAGCATGAAATACTTATTAACTATTTCCAATTGATCTTTCATTGATTCTATCTTGAATATTCCATCACAGTTTGAGAAGTTAATTTTTGCACACAATCGACACCAATTTTGCCAATTTCCCAGCATTTTGAACCACTTTTACGGATAAATAATTCAGAAAAAGCAAATCTGACACTTTTGCTTTCCCAACACTTTGAATAGCTCCAAAGAAATTGCACTCGAATGGTTTATCTCAGGGGTGGAAAACCTAACGAACCAGAGTTAAATGAAAAACTCATGAAGTCTAATACTTTTCACGTCTATTTTGTGCTATTAATATCTTTTATCAATTCTTCTCATGCTTAAAGTCCTGATCCATCACCATCAGAGGCATTGAAGTTGTTGGCCTGTAAGAAATGATTTGAGATAATTAAAACAATTGCTTCCTACAGATCAGCAGAGATTCTTACTTGGGCAAGTGCGTTATCCTGGTAGGCATACCAGACGCTTCCAGAGCCGCCAATTCGGCAGGGTGAGCTTTCTTCTTGTGACTCCTGCAATTCGCTCCACTCGCGAAGGTCTTATCGCAAAAGGGACACTCGTAGGGGCGCTGCCCCGTGTGCAAATACAAATGATCCTTGAATGTCTTGGCGCGCTTGTACTCGTTGCCACAGTAGTGGCACTTGTACTTCTTCACGTCCGAGTGCACCAGCATGTGCATGCTGAGTGTCCTTCTGGTGTTCAGTTTCAGGTCGCAGTGCGGACAGTCGTATGTGGTGCCGTCGTGGATGTCCTCGTGGCGTTTCAGAGCCTGTCGCGTTTTGAACTTTTTCGAGCAGAAGGAGCACTGGAAGATGCGATCGTCGCTGTGAGTGACCTGATGGGCAGCCAGAACGCTCCTCTTGCGGAATGATTTGCCACACTCTTCGCAGATGAAGGGTTTGTTCCCTATGTGCATCACTCGCACGTGATTCTGCATATTCTCCACCGTTCTGAACTTCTTGCCGCACTGAGGACATGGGATTATGTATTTCTCCTCCTCCGGAAGATGGATGGTTTCGTGGACTCTCAACTTCTTTTCCGTGATGAAGCGCTTAGGACAGAGAGTGCATCCGTATGGCAGGCCTTCTTTCGTGTGCTTGTCGCGAATGTGAACATTGAGCAGAGCTCTTCGGCTGTACACTTTCGAGCAGATTTCACAGACATTTTCTCTCGTTTTGGCTGGTCTTGGACCTCTTCGCTTTCTCTTAATTGGCGCTTCTTCATCGTCCGATGCTGTGTCCTGCAAGTAATCCTGCATTTCGTCCTCTGATCCTTCATCTCTGTCCTCTGATTTCTCATCGCAATCATCTGATTTCTCTGTCACACATTCTTCCTTGATTTTCTCTTTCACTTTAGGCGGACGAGCTTTCTGTTGATCAGATTTTCTGGGTCTTCCACCTGAAAGAAGCCACATAGAATCAGATTTTGCCATAGAAAGAGTTTCACTCTCAGCGTACGTTTCCTCGGCACTGTTGCAGATATGATTTCCGGTTCTTCTTCCTTTACAGCCAAGGAATTTCTCATTTCCGGATCAAGTGGATCTGAACTCGGTCCAGCCTTTGGCGCATTATTTTGATCTTGCGAAAGAATTGCACTGTATTTCTGCAAAAAGTATTGTTTCAATGAAAAAAATATACTATAATAAAGCATTCTTTCTACCATTTCCTCATTATCCACACCATATTTGAGACGAATGGATTGGAGATCAGAGTCTAAAACGATGTCCTTTTGTATCAATTCTCTGAACATTTGATCTGCTTTCTGACAACGATCGCCAAACTCTTCAAGTCTTGTGAGAAAACCACAGCATTCATTGCACATTAAAGACTGAGAGTCCTCGAAAGGCAATAACTAAAGAAAAAAGGATAAAGAGGAATTAATTCAAAGATGAATGATTTGTTTGAATCCGGAAGCAATTGAAGTGTTTCACAAGTAGGAAAACAATTCAATCAAATCTTCTCATTATCACTGAAACCATTGTTGAATTATAAAAGGAATTGAGTTTTCACACAACATTCTTTTCAGAAATGCAAGAAATATTTCCTTCTGATAAAATTTGGTGGAAATACAAACAAAAGTTTTCTCACCGAGAGCATGAAGTATTTGTTGACAATTTCCAGTTGATCTCTGAAAGTTTCCATTTTGTAGACTGTATCTGCACCGGTGGCGTCTATTTTCGCACACAATCGACACCAATTCTGCCAACTATCTAGCATTTTTCACGATTTCTACCCAGATTTTCAAAGAATACAAATTAAAGATCTCTTTGACACAATTAGACTTTCAGAATTTGTAAAGCTTCTGTTGATCAATTGAAGTGTTTAATCCAGGGATTGATAACTTTTTATACGCCACTAAATTATACACTTATTTTATTCTATATTGGCTTATTTCAGACGTTCCGATGGCAGGATTTGAGACTGTCCAGCAATTCTGAAAAATATAAGATGAAAATATGTTGTTTGTAATAATTGATTTCACTCACTTTGGCTGTAAATGTTCGAGTTTTGGAAGCACAACGGAAGCTTTAGTTGCTGTTCCAGAAGCCTTAAAAGCCGCTAACTCGACTGGGTGAGAATTTTTCTTATGTTTCAAGCAATTGGACGCATTTGCAAAGGTCCTCTCGCAGAACTGGCACTCGTATGGTCGCAAGCCGGCGTGAATAATCAAGTGATCTTTCAAACTCTTGAGCCGCTTGAATTCTATACCGCAGTAGTTGCATTTATATTTTTTGAAGTCCGAATGGATGACCATATGCAGTTTTATGCTGGCTTTAGTGTTTCTCTTCACATCGCAATGCGGGCACTCGTAAACATTGTCTTTGTGTCTCTCCTCATGTCTGTTCAACTGCGGCTGGTTCTTGAATCTCTTCATGCAGACTGAACACTGAAAAGAACGCTCCTCACTGTGGCTGATCTTGTGTTCCTTAAGTGCACCTGCGGAGACGAAGGCTTTGCCGCATTCTTCGCAGATGAAGGGCTTTTCGCCACTGTGGATGTTTTTTAGATGAATGCGCAAACCATTTTGGCTGCTCAGTTTCTTATCACACTGCGGACATGGAATTATACATCTCTCAATTTTTGGAACATGAGTGATTTCATGAAATTTTAATCTGGTCTTGTTGACGAAGTGCTTTGGACACTTTGAACAAGCATACTTCTTCTCTTTCTCCTTCTCGGTACGAATGAGATGTTTCTTGCGAATGTGCACCTCCAGCCAGTGCTTAAAAACGTATCTTCTCGAACATATTGCACAGATGTTATCACTTCCCTTATCATCTGCGCCTCTATTCAGTCGTTCTTGTGTTTTAACCTTTCTTTTCTCAGTTGCGATACTTTCTTCTTCGTTCCATTCTTCTTTGAATATAGTGGTTATCCCTACTTCTGGCTCAAGAGGATCCGGGTCAGTAAGTACATTCTGAGTGTTGTCTCCAGATAAAAGATCGCTATATTTCTGTAGATCAGGAATATAATGAAAATATAGATCATATTAAGAAGGAATATGGTAAAGGGCTTACGATTTCTGCATTATCCACTCCATATTTTATACGAATTGACTGCAAATCAGAATTCGAGACGCTTTTTTGCATAAGTAATTCCGTAAACATGTGGTCAACATTTAAGCAAATATCCTTGAATTTTTCCAACTTCCTCAAGAATGCTGAGCAATCATTGCACACAGTTGAGAGATTATCTTCGAATGAAGAAAGCTGTAATAAAATGTATTTATACAGTGTAATAAAATACAATTGGACATTTGACAGGGTCAGAATGAAATGATTTATAAATCTCTAAAAATGCATTTTGTGTACAATCCCAAAGTGCATTAGATGAGTGAATAGTTTAAAAGGATAATGTATGACCTTTTTTCTTTGGGATAAATTAAAGTTTTAACACTCATGACGTGATTCACAAGCAGAGCCCTGAGAATATTGCTCACCGAAATCATAAAGTATTTGTTGATGATTTCCAGTTGATCTCTTGTAGATTCCATTTTATACGACACTTTTATGTCTGCTGTGGTCATTTTGGCACAAAACCGACACCAATTTTTCCAATTTTCCAGCATTTTCACGCTTTTACACAATGTCTGAAGGACGAACTCTTGGATGCACTGACGGCAGTCTTTTATACATTGAAATGCTTCAAGCAAAAGTCATTAATAGGCTTCAGGCCAAATTCTCTATATGAGTATATTTCCAACACTCATGCAGAAGATATTTTGAGTGTATGAATATCTCTTTATTCATTGTTATTTGATAAAACTAATCTGGATTGTAAGTGCTCAAGCCTGGGAAGAATAGCGGGCTTTGGCTCCTCTCCAGAAGCTTCAAGAGCAGCCAATTCCACTGGATGCGCTTTCTTCTTGTGCCCTCGACAATTAGCGCCACTTGCAAATGTTTTATCGCAGAAAGGACACTCATAAGGACGTTGACCGGTGTGCAGGAAAATATGCTCCTTGAGAGCCTTTGCTCGCTTGTACTCGTTACCGCAGTAATTACACTTGTACTTCTTCACGTCCGAATGCACCAACATGTGAAGTCTGAGATTTCTCTTGGTGTTCCTCTTTACGCCACAGTGAGGGCATTCGTACGTAGTGCTGTTATGGACATCCTCGTGGGCTTTCAAACGGGACTGATTCTTGTACTTCTTAGGACAGTGTGAACACTGGAAAGAGCGTTCTTCAGTGTGGCTGATTTGATGCTCCTTCAGAGCGCCTTTCGTTGAGAAGGATTTGCCGCATTCTTCGCAAATAAACGGCCGATCACCGATGTGAACAGAACGAATGTGACCCTGAGTTCCACCGGCTGTGCTGAATTTCTTATCACAGAACGGACAAGGATGAATTAGTCTCTTTTCATCAGGCAAGTGAGTCATCTCATGAATTTGCAGACGTTTTTCCGTAACAAATCGTTTGGGACATTTCGAGCACACAAAAGGCAATTCTTCGTCCGAATGTTTCTGTCGCATGTGCAAAGTCAGCAAATACTTGCGACTGTACTTCTTCTGACATATTTCGCAGTACTTTGGCTTCTCTCTTGAGCTCCTTGGACCTCTCCATCGCTCCGCTCGATCTCTCGTAATGCTCTCGTTCTTTGTCCTTCTTCTGGGTTTTCCTTTAACAGAATCAATGGCTTCATTTTTTGGTAATTCGAGTCTCTTACTTGTGAGACTTCCTAAACGGAAAATCACAGAAATTAGGAAGAAACATAGAGTGTAGTAAAATCTAATATTACATACGTGTTCTACGCTCAGGAACAACTTCTTCTGCAACTTCATCATCTTTCACAGCAATATCATCGAGAGGATCTGAACAGTGCTCAGAACTCTCTGAATCCCTCTTTGGTGCCTTTATGCTTAGATCTTCCGACAAAAGTTTCCTGTATTTCTAAAAATCTTCTCTTAATTTAATCAAGCTCAATTATTTCTTATAATTGAACTTTTTGTGTTCATCACACTTACGATCTCATCATTATCCACTCCATACTTTAAGCGAATTGATTCCAAATCTGATTTTGAGATGTTGTCATTATGCATCAATTCGCTAAACATTTGATTCACCTTCAAACAAGAATCACTGAAGTGCTCCAGCTGCACCAGAAAGTTGCTACAGTCTTCACAAATAGTCGTTTGATTATCCTCAGGAAGAAACTAGTTACGAAAAGATTAGTCAGCCGAGAAACGTTTTTTATTTCAACTTAATGCAATTGAAAGGTTTCCAACATGTAAATACCCTAATATGTAAACAATACTGTTTTACTTAGATTTTCTCAAGAATTTCCCAGTTTTCTAATGGAATTTTAGTGGGATTTCGTCCCGAATTAAATTTCTTTAGTATGATTAGGAAAATAAAGCGAGAAAATGGATTTTAGTGAGAAAATAGCGAAAACTTATACTCACGGATAGCATAAGGTATTTGCTGACGATTTTCAATTGATTTCTTGTAGATTCCATATTATTAACACTATCCAGACCTTTAGATACTATTTTTGCACACAGACGACACCAATTCCTCCAATTTACCAGCATATTTTCTCACTTTTCCACGTTTTGACGAGACCCAAACAAACAATGAAAAAGTCATTTGCAACACTGCTGATTGGATTCCTTCTTAGCCGAGACACAGACAAAAAGTTGCTCTTTTTCAAAAATCAGCTACTTTATTTGATGTTCTATGTGAACTTTTATTTTACTCATTCCTTACAAAAAATTCCCTATAACTACACTTCATTGGTCAAAAGAAATCGCGCGAGGCATTTTCTCACACTTATAATACTACAAATAAATAGATGTAAATATAAATTACTGTATCAAATGAATTATTTTCTATTCCAATAGGAATTTCTGATCGAACCCGGCAAGAGAAGTGGAAAAACGAGAGCCAAACTTCCTTGCAGTGTGCGAAATTTAAAGACTCATGATCAGAGATTCTTATTAGAAATTTACAGTCCCCAATATAGAAATCATCCTTAGAAACTATTGCACAATCGCTCGTCCGGCGTATCCTTTGTGACCCGTCATGTACTGCTCGATGTGTTTCCTGCCGTTTTGAAGCTTGAAAACTGCAACGCAGGTCTAGAATGAAAAGAAAATAATTAAATTAATGACTTGAACATGTACTGCGATTCGAGAAACTCACAATGACCGTTGAGAGCGCCAAAAGGAAGGATAAGAGCGCCGAAATGAACAGAAAACTCCTGCATTGATCGGATTGATTGGATTTCAGACTCTCATAATCTCCAGGCATGATCACTGTATACTCGATGTTCTCCTTAAACTTGGTGAACTCGGTGGCATTCTTGTCAGAGATCGCTCTCCTCTTCCTTCCATGGCCTGCAAACACAGAACATTCAGTCTCACAAAGATCTGGATTAGGAAAAGATTGTCCTTCACCTGATGGTTCAAAGAGATCAAGGCAGAAGTCTGGCTGACAATCGGCAGCCTCCATGCAAGCCTTGATTTGGGAATGGATCCAGAGAGTGCTTCTCTCCTTCATGGAGCTCAGAAGGAAGGCCTCAAAGTCCAGGAATACCTCATTCGAGCGTTCTCTGTAGCGAGCAGGTTGATGAGGGATGATCGAGGCAAAGTCTCTGTTGCGGCATCCTTCGCGCACAAGAGCCACGGATCCGATCGCATGAGGATCGTCCGGATCAGGCGAAACCGTCACTTCCATCAGCTTCACGTACTTCCACACACTCTGCGCGCTGATCCGTGCTCTGAGCTGTAGTTTTGTACCAATGGGCACCGCTTGATCCACGGGCACTTCGTTGTTGGTCACTGGATTGCCCAAGGAGGAGTTCTTCAGATGAGCAGCGCTGATCCTCGCCACGGGCGGAGCTTCCTTGTACAGCGCCACCTCATATTCCAGCCTCCCTGGAGTCTCTTCAACCACTCCAGACACTCTAGCTCCATGTGGACTGCGAAAGATCCATTAAAAAGGCATTGAAAAACTGTACATTTCATTCACAAAAACCTCTTTTCGTCTATCAACAGTACTTTTTTCTTGCCATTGAAAGGAAAAATGAGATCATTTTTCTCTCTCAAAATGAAATCAAGAAGATGCCATTACAATTGACTTTGAACGAAGCGATGATGCATTTACAGATGTTCCTCTGTAATTAGCCGACTCTCCGCGGTTCTCTCATGAGAATTTAATTGATTTCTAACAGGAAGGGAGTGATCGGTGCAAAAGAATTCTTACAAAAGGTAAATCGCAGACAAAAGGGCCGAAAAACTGTTGCTTCACTTCAAAGAAGTTGAAAGTAAATAACGTCTAAGGAAGTGTTCTTTTTATACAGCAAATATTCTTACAAGTTGAAAGATGTTAACACGTGTTGGTTAAACCACAAGATCAGTTTAGCATCGATTCTTAAGTGGATCATTTGTGTGTGAAATGAGATGTTAAATCATCTTTTGAGATTCCAAGCAAGAAAATCACATTGAAATGATTGGGTTTGCAGGGTAATATTGTTTGGTAGACAAGTGCAAATTATAATTGATTATTATGCAGTTATGGAAATCAATTCCAGAAGCAAATGTATGATTAGCTATAGTAGAGAATTTATGTATAAGTGATTCGCAACTAGGCAAGTTAAACTAATACTTCTGAAAATGGTATTTAGTATTTATTTATAATCTGCAGTGAAAATGCAAATCTTTATCCGATTGATCTTTATAGAAATGTCACAAGTCTTGTCAGTTTGTCAGAAGTGGAGAATGGCCCTTGATCTCAAGCTGCAATCATGAGATCCTATTAAACTCTGTCGATCGTTATGAGGATCAGGCGCGATCTTGAGCATGAAGTCAAGTAGAAGTTTTAGGGCGTGTTGAAGCGCACAAAATGGGAAGGAGAGATGAAAGATTTAATAGAGTTTCTGATTGACAGGACTCGGCAGTTAAGCAGAACAGATCACGATCTTCTTGGGCTAGTAATTGACAATTTTCGTCGGTTTTTGCGCATTTAATGATCGTCTGGTGAAGTTTTATAATTTTCTTGCGACTCGTGCAATTTTCTTCGACTTCCTGGGCTTTGAATTGATGTGGCAAAGATGTTTTGGGAGGAAATATCGCCATAGATTCATTGAACTCTGCGTGCTATTGTTGTTCCCCATTCATAGAGCCATGAGCGAAGTCAGAGAGAAAGAGCAACAAAAAGTGTGTAATTTAACGTTGAATTAACTTGTCCACCTCATTGGCAGGTGGCAATTATCTCAACTGTGAAGAAAAGATATTTTTGTGAGCAAGCATATAAAAATTATCACTTACAAACTCCCAGCGAAGCCGGCCGCCTTGTTCTGGATCACCGTTGGTTCTGGTGGTTTGCACATGATGATCAACTCTTGGTCCGATTGCATCACGACACCCGGGAACTGTGGGAACCATATCCGCACGTGGACGAAGCCGTTGCGCCTGAGAACGCCGCAGCGCGAGAAATCCAGGATCTTCAGCATGTAGCCAAGCTCGGACGCATCGTTGAGGTCTGGCTTGATAATGCAATTCACATCGTTCTCCGGGTTGATGCTGCGATCGTCAGCGAAAAGTGGTGTGCCTTTGAAGCCCATGGGCTTCTTCAGGTGAGCCGTGATCGTGTCGCCCACACTCGAGCCTTGCGACGCGAAGGAGCACTGAATGTCCGTCACTATGAATTGAGAGCACGTTTGGAATTCCACGAGGAAATTGAGATTGGCAAATGGGCAAAAACACCGGCGATTTGTGTTTGCTCTGCAGCAAGTGCCCGTGGATTGTGCAAGAAATGCAAGGTGGAAGCGATCATTGCTTTTTGTACCAACACTAGCAACTGTAGAATGTTTCTGCATAATCAATCAGGATGTGGTTTTGTAGATAAATATTACAAGAAGTGACTGACTCCCTTATTATATCAGCTATTTTTCTCGCCAAAAAAAACATTATAAAAACATATTTTGATTTTGGGTTTTTGTAATATTTCTTGCTGCTCCAGAAAATCTCAAAGTCAGTCTGCTGATCTTCATGCGCTAAATCGATTTAGTGTAATTTCGTATGAAATATTTATCTGAATCATGCCTCAAAGTAACATAACTGCTTAGACAAATTATGAATCGACCCAAATATTATGCAATAGAGCGACTGTAATAAATGAATTTGCATTTGATGAACAATGTCACGGCCAATGAGCGCAATCTGCTCCAAAACTAGCGGTCCTCCAGCATCTGTACACCGCTCACAGCAAATTGGCAAGCCTTGCGCGGCGGTCGCGAAAGGTCTCGCTGGCAATCTAATGGAGTGTCTTATCTGGTGCGCCGTTGTTTGGCTTGTTGCTAAACAAAACAGAGAGGAGGGCAATTGTGGTGTGGATGTGCAATCATCTCACATGATCTAATTCCATTTTGAAACATCTCCCGAGCGATGGATGGCGAAAAAATAGGCACGATCGCGAGTCCTATCATCACGTATACAATGGAAATGTAATTGGCGGGAAAAGGCGATGCACAGACCTGATGACCACACTCAATTTCTTGACGCTCGCTTGACGATATGATGATCTTTCTCTCTCACCTTTGGCGGGCGTTTTTTTCGACTAATCTCTTAATTGATCTGCTCGTCGCGATTGTATCTCAACTGTGATCTCGACGGATTTTTCTCGACTTGCGCTCGAGTTTGGCTCTTTCTCGGTACATTTGCATAAAAACCATCAAGCCGTTGGGTTATTGTGCATTTTGTTATTGCATAATCATAACTAAATGGAAGCAAAAAGCGCAGTAAAAATGCAAACAACTCACCGTCGTAGTCTTGAGCATAGATTAGCGGAAGTATCTGGAAGAGAGGGCAAGAAAGAGAGATTAAAGTGGAATGTATTTCATCAGTGGAATTATTGAAATGTTTCATGCTGCAGCACATTATCGTGATCATGCTTTTCATTAGTTCGCTGCGATGAAATTCACAAAGTCTAACACGATCAAAATTGCCTTGTCAGCTGCACAAGGAATTCCTTTATGTTGCCCAGGGCAAAAAATGGGATCACATCTCTATTGTTTGGTGAAAGTTCCTGGCACTCAATTGACCCTGGCCGTGTGTGCAGAAAATGCAGGTGGACATGAGCACGTGAAGTGGAATCAACTCGTGGGCACAGTAACGGAGCCCCCATCCATCGTACAGTTATCAGTTTGTCTCCTATGTGTTGGATGAGGAAAAGACGAGAGAACGAAACTGGTCACCTGATTTTTCTGCCCATATTCTTTCACCTTACTTTCCTATCACTGCATTCTCGAGCAAGATCACATAGTTGCACATCCAGAAGCCGCACTTACTAACGGACCATGGCGTGGACAAGACACCGACAGAACGACATGACTCTGACCCAGAGATTTGGCGTGCAAAATAATGGTAATTAAGACATTCAGGCAAAAAGTGAGAAGCTCTCTATCATCACACCCGTTAGTCGCGATTGTACAAATTGAGACATCTTCACTGGCCACAACTCAATATTCCGGCAGTAAACCCAGAAAAACACATGCGAAAATACAATTTCCAATGATCTTCTCAGACTCTGCGTGCCCTTATTGTCTCTGCAGCCTTTTTCCCACTGTCGCGGCCCATTTTTCCCGCGCGAGAAAAGGTCTCAATCCATCAACAATGGGGAACTCTCCCAATTCCCATCGCGCTTCAATGCCACAAACACTTCCTCAGATGCAGTTTAATGGGTTAACAAAATGCACGGCGTTGCATTCAATCTGTCAGCAATTTAGCTCCGCATTTAAAGCGGAGGAGGGCGAAAATCAGCTTATAAAAATAAAACAAGGTGTTTTTTCTTCTATAAAAACAAACACTTTTAGAAACGAATAACATGTTATCCTAGAAATTAGTGGGTCGATTTTGATTTCTACATATTGATAGCCTTCTTCGATCATCTTTACGACTAACATTTCTGTTATGATGAAAGAAAGATGCTATTTTATGACTTAACAATCAACATTCTTCCATTACTGATAAATTTTACAATACGTACAAATCACTTAAATTGAATTTTTCCGTCTCAGTGAGAGAGGAATGAAAGATTCGGTTCTGTATGTCACAGAATCGTCTAGAACTATTAGTCACATAGAGCATAGGATTCAAAACTCGTAATCTTTTTCAAGTAATAATTTCTGAAATATAATGATTGATATTTAATCAATTTTCAGAATTAAAAGAAAGTAATTTCCTTTAATCCTTTTCCTCTAATAGCTGTAACACTTCTCCAATTTACCAACGGTAATTACTAGGTATAACTACGAAGTCACAAGTGAATATTTATGCAAACTATATACCTAGAAATTGTACTTTGCATTTATGAATTGCTAATTATCCGACAAGCTTCATATCGCGAGCAGTTTGCATTTAAATTCTTTTTCTCCAAATTATAAGACTTTGCTTTGCCTCTTTAGACTTCACATTTGCGGAAAGAATCTCTCTCTTTTTCGTGTGACAGTACATGAGCATTTATGCAAATACACACGCTTCCGAATGGTTAAGTGTGTCACCAAGGCTCAACCGCCTGTGACAAGTTGCAGCCGAATGACGAATGCCGCACAGGGAGAATCAATCATTCCTCCACCATTATCACACACACGCAACATTGTTATTGCATGGCAATTGAGTTAGGGAAGAAGCAGCGAAAATGCCATTGCTCGGTTCCCCTCTGGAATGATGCGCGCAAATCTCATGCTGGAAGAATTTAACAAGAGCAGAGACTGCGAGATAGCGGGAGCAGCGATTCGATTCCTCAAGCACAGTAAGTATCGTCATTGAATACTTGTACATTTAATAAAGCATCGTGAGTCGCGAGATGCTGGCGAGAGAGAATCAATTTCATGTAAGGTTTCGTCACATGTTGAGTATTTGAGGTTGGAATAGCACCCAAATGTCCATGAACTTGAACCAATTAATGCCACGGCCACTCTTTGCCAAAAGAATTGATTGTGTATTCACCGAGATTTGGCGCCAGAATAACTGGAGCAGCATAAAATTACCGAATCTCGTTCTGTTTGAATTTATTACTTTGAGTGAATATTAATGGCTAAGACTGTTTGCCTTAGATGTACTGTGAAGGAATGAATTATCCAATTTTCGACCTATTTACGGGCTCTGTCATTGGCTAATTGTCGATTTAATAGAATGAAAAGTGTTGAAGACATTGATTTCACGAAACCCTTGCCACCTCTCCAGATGGACATGCGCGAAAATGCGCTAATTCTTAGATCACCAAGAAAATCACCCAGAGAACGTCTTTCACTGTTACCTGACTGCGGAGATCATGTGAGATGAGAGGCGCGATCTATTCAATATTCACACGTTTCTAATCAACAATTCCGTCACATGGGAATAAATGGGAATTTGTTAACGGATCGCCAGATCGTTCCTCTCGCTCGCCAAATGCGAGACTAACTTTATTATAAACAGACGAAAAATGCTGCTAAAACAATCAAAATGGTCAAAAGGTAAACAGCCAGCACATTTCTGGCTCAATGGAGTGGAGAAACTCGGCGGACAATCGCCCAACAAGTGAACCAATTGATCAATTCTTAACGGGAACCCCGCGGAAGATGTTTCTTCTACGGTCAGGACGTATTTGCTCTCACTCCAATTGATTTCTCAATTGTCTCACTGTTCCATTCAACTCTGCCGCAGTTGAATAAACCTTCCGCTCCTGCTAATCTCTGTGATCTGGGCAAACAACCGACCCTCGCATTACCATTTTATAGGGAGTGGATCTCATGAATCCTGAACGGGATAATTCGCTGATTACCGCCACTTGCGAAGGAGGCGAGAAGAGGCCGTGAATAAATTTCACGGTAATTATATCTGCTCAGCTTCCCGAATGAAAATGAAATCATAAATAATGCACAGCGTTTGCCGCCCGAGCGAAGTGCCCGCGCCCCAATATTGCATGGTGGTCGCCATTAGCATCCAAAGTGGTTGGCAATTGAGTAATCTTCGCGGAAATCCCAACATTCGTGGATGAGCAATGTGAGAACGGTCCCGAAAAACACCACATTTTCCGCATCATTTCCAGTATTCTGTCTACAGCCGACAAAAAGCCTTGCAACACACATATTTTTACAGTAATTCGCTAAGGTATAACACCTTGTAATAATTACCAACAGCAAGTGCTTCTTTATACATTAATTTTTGTGACGCTATACAATCTTGAATCACTGAAAGAAAATTACAAAAACACGTTGAAAACTTGCCTTAAATTCGATCATCTTCTTGTTCATGTTTCTTCACTAAGAGAAATGTAATCAAAAGAGGTAATAATTACTTTTGTAATATCACATTGTGAGTATTACTTACTACATCATTGATAGTCAAGATGATCAGATTAACATTCCAGTGATTCAAAATTTAGCGAAAATTACTTTTTTCATGAGATTACTACAATTATTATTAATATATAGTTAAAACACTCCTAAATTATGCAAATTATATTTTAGCTCAGTGCAGCTAAACGAAAGATTTCAACACACACAACCGGGAAACCCGGAGATTCCTTGCGAATTTCACCGGTATGAAATCTCTTGCATTAATTAAACCAGTTTAAACAGTGCTCAATATCCAAGGCAATTCATCTCTGAACAGGAATAGATGCAGTTAAGAAGATATTGTGGATAAATCTTTCGAGAAGAGGCGAAGTAGTGCAATCTGCAATGATCTCAATAGCTCAGGAGAATCATAAGTATTGAAGAGGTGAATTGGCTAAATTGCTGGTTAAGCGTGTTTTGAGAACATCATCGATGTTGCAAAAAATTGTGATTGAACAGGGCGATTTGCATAATTCCTAAATTACTTCTTGTTCCGTTTCTGGCCGGCACACGCCTGGAGATAATCTCAAAAAAGTGGGATTACAGAAGAATATGCGCCAGTGTGTCACTGTTTCAATAACTTAATGGTGGTTACAGTAGACATTCTTTTGAACACTCGATTGTGGCGGAAGATATTAATATTTTTCGCCCAATTTCCCCAAAATAAATTATTGATCATGATATTCAATGGCTTCACGCTCATTAATATCATATTCACACCACAAAACTCGTTAGCATAAGCCGAGATTGGACGGTTGACAATTAATTACAGAGACATAAACCAATTTTGCTCTACAAATCCCAATCTTTTCAGACTGAACAGGGAAGATTTACTGCACAAGTTGAGTAACTTACCGTTGACAAAAATATCAGCAGCATCAGTCCAGCATTCCTGCTCGCTGCAGAGCGCTTGACGGTGGCGATGGAGTGCCTGATAAATTGCTGACACATTTTCCCTGCGCTCTCGAAATCTCAATTCTGTGCACCGGAGCAATTGACAAAATCTTGCAGGTGAATTTCACTTTTTTACCTTCCAAAGAGTGCGTCGCTGCGTGGAAAATTGCGCTGGAAAAAGCCACCAACACTCAACAGTTCTTAACTGTTCTCTCTGCCACTTTTCTCGCGCGGAGCAGCCAATCTCGCTACCAGACCATCAGCTGGGCAATTAACGAAATTCCCATTCCACTATCGCGAAGCCCATCAGTCACAACACTTTTCCCTCGTCTTCGGTTAATTGGGCAAATCGTCTAATTGTCCTCAAATGTGGATCACGCGAGTGTATTCAAATATTCACTTCGTCGCGATCTTTGGCAGTGTCGAGCAGCACACGTCTGAATACTCCGAGAGCCACTAACTCAGTGAAGAGGCCTCCGTCACCGCGGTGAAGAAGTCGATAGCGTTTCGGCCGCGCACGCGAGCGTGGCGAGGAAGTGGTGGTTGCAGAATATATGAGTGTCTTCAATCAAAACAAATCCACAGAGGAAAATGCTACAGTCTCTTCAGGCAATCTCTCGGAAAAAAACCAATTGGGAGCGATAAGCTATTTGCAGACTGCTCGTATTGGACATTGCATGGTTCAAAGATCATTGATTAAGACACATTGTGAAGAAAATATCAGTCAAACTCAGTTATTGGCAAAGGAAATAAGAAAAAAAACATTTCCCTGAAGATATGTAGTGGAATTTGTTTCAAATCTAGTATTCGTTCTGACTTTACTACAAAAAAAATCTACCTGAATCACTGAATTCCTATACAAGACGCACAGGCAATTAAGACGAGCTATAAAATGCTTATTGATACGTTTATTCCGTGGCTCATTTCATCATAAAGTAAAGCGTGAGTCCAATGGTGCTGTTTTAACGGCATCCACTTGGCAAATGCTCGATTATCACCTAATTGTATTTCATGTGAGAACAATTTCGGCAATTTACCTTATGATCCACTTCCTAACGGGCCTCCCTTCGCCCAGTCACCAGTCATTTTTCACGCAGACGACTAGAACAGTTCGTCTGGTGGCTCCTCTTTGATCTCCGGCACCGTGTGGTAGGCCGAGATGGCGATGAACCGCTGCAGAGCCTCGAAGTTCAACGCTGGATCGTTGTCCTTGTCCAGGGCGTATGTCGCACCGCCCACCATTTCAAAGCCGCGGAAGCGGGAGCACTTCTTGGCGCTGGGAAAGTTCTGGATGAGTGTCATGATGGTGGGATGGGCGAGCCCGAAGAACCAGTCGCCTTGGGGACGCATTGCCATATTCCGGAGATCGTTAGTATTGCTCAGATACTGCAGGAGAATTGCGTGGCAGGCGTCTGGGGACGTGCTGGAAATCACAATGTCCGGGTCGGACTCTATGGTGATCTCGAAGAGCGGATTGGCGCCTCCATCTAGGATTTTGCAAGTGTAGACAGTCTTGCGGCGAGGATCTCTCACGCTTCCGTAGATTCTCAGCGCTGTGTAGCCCACAGGGTAAATCCACTGCTCACTGTGGAAGCCTGGGCGGTCGTAAACAATTTCACCCAAGGATGAGATGGTCAGATGTCCCACGCTGAAAGGATATTGTGTGGGGTGCCCATTGGCATCAATTGTTATCTCCACCATTTGGGGCTGCGTTGACGTCTTGACTTGCTGCTGCGCCAGCTGCTTGCTTTTCAGACTCGGCCTCCCTGGCTTCCCGGTGCCCTTTACCTTAGGAGCACTGCCCTCAAGATTCACCTTCTTCTTAGACTGCCTCTTTATATAGTCCTGACTCGAGTTCTTGAACATCTCCGGATCGGGAGGTTCAAATTCCATGAGTTTCTTCAGCAGAAAGCGTCGCTCCTCTTTCACCAGCACGATGTTATCCTGCAACTGAGCAACCTGGTCACAGAGAGCGGCATTCTCCTGAAAAATCCACAGAAATATTAATTAACAAGTCCAGACACAGGAAGCTTCCCAGAAAACTCACATAGACCATTTCCTTGATCTTTCTCTTGATTCCCTTCAATTTCCTTCGATACATCTCATTTTCCTCACTCTTCGGGTTGTACTCGATAAACTCATAAGCCATTTTTTCCCGATTTTCACAAGATTTTCCAAAATCAATTCCTTTGTTTACAAGCCGACGGATGCGGTTTGCAAATTTTGACAGTCAGCTGATTGACAGTCAAAAATCTAACCTCACTGTCTTATCAAAAGTGACCACGAAAAACAACAATATCATCGTAATTTTATACATTCTTGCGAAAGAAACAGTTTGCAGCACGCAATAGAGTTTATGGACACTTTTTAGTGAAATACTCAGTGTAATTGACGAAAACCCATTAGAATTGCGTATATGTGACATTTGACAGTTGTCGGTGAAAAAAACCTCCACGCGTGCTCTCATGAATTTTTTGTAGTTTTTAGCGTGATTTTGCAGAAATTCATGAATATTTTATAAGTAAAATCGTGAAGAAATGGACGATTTATATGTAAGTCATAAATTTTTGGCTCCAGCGTGTCTCTAAAGTCTAGTATTGTGTCTTTTACAGAGCATCTGCAATGCCACATTCAGGGGCTGCGTGGACAGCATCAAGGGAATCGCAGTGGTTTTCTACCTGGACAGGGAGATGAACAAGAAATCTCGATCTTCTCGGTCCAAATCTACATCGAATGAGCGACTGAACCTCACAGGAACACCCTCGACGGTGCGAAAGTCTGGGATCAGCAAGGAAGCAACGAAACGCGAAGAGTGAGTTTCTTTGTCTCTGAAACTGGCTTGAAATGACATCGGTTTTCCGGATTGCAGAGAATCGATGGTGTGGAAGCGTGTCCTGCAGTGCAGTGCCTTAAATGGGGGCGTCTTCTGGGCGAGTATCGCCATCTTCGAGTGCGTCATCCTGCCTGCACTCAAGGTTTTGCTGACGTTCATGCTGTCCAACGATGGATTCGGAATGAATGTGTGGAGCTGGATGCAGCCCTTCTTGTCGCTCATCTTCAGAATGATCTGGGTGCTGCCGCTGTTTGCCCTCAGCAAGATCGTCAATAGCCTGTGGTTCCAGGACATCGCCGACTCGGCGTTTAAATTTCGCAAAGGACGGCCTCAGTTGATACCCAGCATCAGCAAACTCATCGCCGACACACTGTTCAGTCTCATCGTTCAGGGCCTGTTCCTCGTGCAGAGCATGCTCGTGAGCCTCTTACCTGTGAGCTACGTCGGCACGCTGCTCTGCTTTGTGCACATGTGCTTGCTGTACTCGCTGTACTCCTTTGAGTACAAGTGGTTCAACATGGGCTGGGAGCTTCACAAGCGCCTCACGTACATCGAGTACAACTGGCCCTACTTCGTGGGCTTCGGAATGCCTCTGGCCATCGTCACGCAGCTGCCCAACTCCTACATCGTCAGCGGATGTGTCTTCTCCATCCTCTTTCCCTTGTTCATCCTCAGCGGCAACGAAGCCACACCACTGTCAACGACCAAGTAAGATTACAGCTCTAATTCTCAACTGAAAATCATTTCATGTTTCACGACACGTCTAGCGATTGAAGCTGATTCACGTGTCTTTATCGAGGATTTTAATCAAAATCAGTTGATCGCAGTGAATATGATAGAAAGTATGATTTATTCCTTATCTTTCAGACAATATCCTCTGAAACTCTTCTCGCCTGTTGTCGCCATCTCGAACACGCTCTTCAGTCGCACAATGCCCGTCCACCGGGCGGCCGGAGCAACGCCAACTCACCCAAACACCGCCCAGCCGTCGAAGATGAAGCTGAAGTAGGCAATTGTGTCTAGGAATCGCGATAAAGTCTGTGATTTTATCAGATGGAAGGCGCGCGCGCGACATGCTTAATGACATGACCAGAGAATTTAACTCTAAAAACCTACAGTGATACTGTTGGTTTCCGGGAGGGGAACTTAATAAAGGACTGACTGAAGATGTTGGTGTGATCAGTTCTCTGGTGCTTCCTGGTCAACTGAAATGTGATACAGCTTCAGATCGTCGGGAGTGAGTTCGATGGGTGCTTGAGACATGTGATCCTTGCCGTGAAGACCCTTGGGAAATGCTATAACGTCTCTTATGGTCTCAGTATTGCAAATGATTGCCATCAGCCTGTCAATGCCCAGAGCAATACCTCCGTGTGGTGGGCATCCAGACTCAAGAGCCATCAGAAGGTGCTGCAGATGCTCATGCTTAATACTGAGCACGTCCTCGAGGACAAACTTCTGCAGCGCTGCATCGTGAATCCGGATGGAGCCACCGCCAACTTCCTGACCGTTGATTACAAGGTCGTACGCTTGAGAACGGATGCTGTCAAGATTCTCTAGCTTTCGCAGTGCGTCCAGATCGTCAGGGTGTGGAGCAGTGAAGGGATGATGAGTGCTTACCAACTGATCGGAGTCATTTCTCGTGAACAGAGGAAAATCGACGATCCAGAGGAAGTGTTTTCCTCCGTTGCCCGTTTGACTGAGAAGTTTCCGACTTTGCAGGCTCTCAATGATCACACTTCGGATGCGTCCCATCAGCTCCTGAGTCTTAGTCTTCTGCCCAATGCCCAGGAAGATGAGATCCCCTTGTTCCAGCTTCAAGTTCTCCGCCAGAGCTTTTGTGACTTCTGTGGATAGGGCATTGGAAATGCCAGATTCCGTCCACGCTTCTATTGTGGGCTCTTTCAGCTTTGAGACAAAGAGTCGTGTGTTGGTCAGGTTTTTTATCATCGCCGCCACTGAGTCTTTTAGCAAAGTGGGAAAACCATTGTTGGGGGATTTGAGAACAATTACGTAGGAGGCAAAGTCACTGTAAACGCTGGTAAGAGTCTCGTTCAGCTTCAGCGTGTCTGTGACGTCCGTGAGTTGGAAGTTAAAGCGAAGATCAGGTTTATCACTGCCGTATTTGGCCATTGCATCCTCATAAGTCATCCTGCTGAATGGCGTTTGTATGCTTTCTGCGTTTTCCTGTGGCCAGGAGTACTTTATTACATTCTCTATCAACTCCATCACTTTCTCCTTGTCCGTGAAGGAGAGCTCGACGTCAAGCTGTGTAAATTCCGGCTGTCTATCACTCCTCGTCGATTCGTCCCTGTAACACCTGGCAATCTGGAAGTACCTGTCCACAGCTCCGGCCATCAGCAGTTGCTTGAACTGCTGCGGACTCTGCACCAGTGAGTAGAAGTGTCCACGCTTCCTGGACGGCACAACGAACTCTTGCGCTCCTCCAGGAGTTGCTCTGAAAAGCGTTGGTGTTTCCACCTCGACGAATCCACACTGATTGATCAGGTACTCTCGCATCTTCATTAATACGGCCGATCGCGTTCTCAGATTGCGTTGCATATCAACAAAGCGAAGATCAATGTAGCGATGCTCCAGCCGAAGAGTCTCTTTCGCCCTGTTGAAATCTCTCACATCCATTGGAAGCTGCTTCTTAGACGCATTCAGCAATTCGAAAGATTCAAGCATGACTTCAATTTCTCCTGTGGCCATTTGATGGTTCACCATGTGTGCAGGACGAGCTGTAACCACCCCTGAAACCTTCATAATGGACTCAAAAGCCAGTGAATCCAATGGCACATCGTCCACCTTCGGAAGAGGGATTAGAACTTGAGTCATGCCATAGCCATCACGCAGTGTGATGAACTTTTTCATGCGCTGGAAGCCCAGCCATCCGCAAATCACCACATTCTGACCAACGTGACTGGCATTCAACTCGCCACAGTTGTGAGTGCGATTTGTGAATAAACTAGTATTTGGAGATGAAGATTTCTCAATATCTGCCTTCTCAATTCCTAGTTTCTCAATTTCAGGCTTTTTCTCTGCATCCCCGTTTTGACTATCCATCAGCAACTCTGCGTCTTCCATCGTATCATCAGCAGATTCAAACGCTGGTGCAACATAGGGCTCTTCAGGATTCAGGAGTTTGTAATTGTCCACAATTACTTCAACATCTCCAGTCTCTGATTTGCTATTTCGACTATTGAACGGTCTGGCAGTCACTGTTCCTTCCACATAAATAATGTCCGACTCCTTCAGTTCTCCCAAAGCGTCTTGGATATTTGTCTTTCCCGTTTCCACAGTCACTTGACAGTATCCTGTCCCATCGCGCAGCCGGAAAAATCTGCCAAAACGCTGAGAATTGTCCAGCCAACCCACAAGTCTGATCTGCATACCCACATGATCCATCCTCAATTCTCCGCAGGTGTTTTTCCTCTTGTTGAAGTACTCTCTGATACTTCCCTTTGCCCTGGCCAGTTCCGGGGCTGTTATTCCCAAGCAAGAGCGACTCGTGGTGCTCATAGCTCGCTTCTGCCCAACATCCTTCATCGCTGGTGTTGAATATGGAGTCTTCACACTCAAAATCTCCTCCACGTGTACCTCTACGTCTCCCGTGGCAGTCGTGCGATTCCTAGACGACTCTGGACGTAGTCGACAACGACCCACAACTCGCAATTGACTATCCACAGGCATTTTCTGGAAGCGGATCGAGACATTTGTGTCTTCATTGTTGGCAATCAGCTGAGTCTGTCCTGTGCTGTCCCTCAGCACTAGAAACCTGCCGAGACTCTGCTTCACCACGCGACCGAACAACTCAACAAGGAGCCCGTGATGGTGTTCCCGGAGACCACCACAGGACACCTGCATCGGGCGCTCCACAGGCGGCAGTGGTACCTGCATCAGAGGCGGTGGATAATTTCCATAACTGTTGTACTGAGACCCTAGAAAGCACATCAATGATTATTAATTGCAGTAAAACTAGAAAAACGCTGCACTTTCGTACTCACGGAACATTTTTCTCGGTGGTTGATTCATTCCAGGGTTCATCCACATACTTCGTCGAGCCATTTTATGATTTTCCCCTACTAAAGCACACTGAAAATATCACAAACGCAAAGATAAGACTCAGGAAAGGTTAAATACTGTATACTAATCACTACTGAAGGCTGTTTTGTAGGGAAAATTTCTAAATACCGGTGAAGTAAACAACAAAAGTTCAGACGCTACGGAATTGTATCGTCTGGAGAACCGCCTTAGTTTAGGCAGGAGAAGTGACTTCAGCATTACACACTTTATCAAATGAGACACACAAAGGTGCAAAGAAAAGATAGGAAAATGTAGGATTTCCCTGTGAAATTAGATAAATATATTATGAAACTCGAGTTGTCTAACCTTACTTATTGGATGTTCAAGCACGCAGTTTCACCTGAGTGATTCGAGCGCCTCTGGTAGGAAAACATAGACAATAATGCAAACGCACAAGAAACATACACTAAAAAATCACTTTATGCTATTTCAAATAAAAGCATAATGGTTCTACCAAGAAAATGAAATAAATATAAACATAGGATGGAAAAAGAGGGTTAAAAATGTTCCAATGGCGAAATAATATTTTTTCACTGTAAATTTGTTTCAAGAAACTCATGTTTCTCTTTTTAAGCGGAGACACAAACGTGACTTTTCTACGTTTTCAGTTACAAACTTAACTCGATTTATTACAATTAATTATTAAGTTGACTCCACGAGCACATCGTTGTAGTGCGTGACTACGTAGTCATGGTAGTACATCATGATGGCTAGCGGCTGTCCTATGATGAGCGATGACCAGACGATGGTGTTGCCCCATCGCGGCCCGAATCGCTTCCTAGCGAAATTGGAAACCCATGAGAGCGGAATCTGGGCCATCATACCCATGAAGGCCCACACTTTGAACATCCTCAGTGGCACACTGACCAGGTACTCGTGGAAAAAGGCGCTGATGAAGAAGACCGTGATGGAGGCTGCCGTGCGCCCCAGGCCCAGGTCCACGACGGGGATGTAGAGGTGTCGCACGCACCAGCGATGGACGGGCATGTTCCATGTGCGCCAAAACGTGTCGATGCTGTTGGCGTTCCACCAGTCGCAGTAGAAATTGCGGTCTGCGAACTGCAGCAGCTCGCCGAGGAGGTTGAGGAAGGAGTGGAAGGTGAGGTAGAAGAAACATAGCCACACCAAATGATTGGGAATGGACAGCTTGAGGAGGCGAACGGTGGCGTGGATGAGATCCATGTTGGAGAAGGGCGTCAGAGAGTTGCGCACGGAAGGGATCATCCACTGTTGGAAGAGCGCCATCACCACATTCACTCCAATCAACACCTCCAGGATGCGCTTAAGAAGAAAGCGTTTTCTAATGCGTGACGTTCTGGGGAAGTTCAGCTCGTAGCAGAGCGTGGGAGCGAGGAGAAAGTACAGAAGGTCTGTGAGATGGAGATTTTGAGGATACTGTACGAGGACTTCAGGCTGATGAGTCTCCTTCTTGATCCCATCCACACTGTCGAGATCGTTCTTCTGATTGTTGTTCTCTGCAAAAACGAAGTTTGTAATGCCAATAATGAGGCTTGGTACCCTTTGGATGCTTACGAAGCTGAGCTATTGAGATGCTCTGAGTTCGCTTCCGCGTCTTTGTGGATTTGGGCGACACTGCGTCACGACGACACCACATGTTGACCTGAACGTAGCTCCAGAGCTTCATGAAGAGAATGGAGTAGACGAAGCACACAAAACTAGCACCAATGAGACTGAAAATGTGGCCTCGGATGTGAATGATAACCATTGGGATGAGCACTAGAACTACGATATTGACTACATGGATAAACATTCCGAAGCCTTCAGCCACAATTTCCACAGCCAGTCCCTTCTCCACAAGAAGGCAGATCAGGATCGGCACGAGAGTATCTGAAAGAACATCATTTGTAGTATCAAGAAGAAACAGAATGAGTGAATGGGAGCCTTACAGACTGTTAGGATGAACGATGGGAAGCCCTCGCCCTCGTTCTTCCCAGTCAGAACGATGTACCATTGCACCGGATCGATCCGGATGCCGTACTTGATGAAGTTCTCGAGTAGCAACCGAAAGCCGCCCATAGTGAGGAGAAGGAAGCCCCAATTCACGAGTCCTGTGAAATTGTTGAAGCCCGAACTCCATGTGAAAAGGGAGTCTTGTGGTCGATGGCATCTACAACGAGGAAATACGCTGTAATTAATACTTTCTTGATGCAATTTCACAGATTGAAATAAATAGGGTGTCATTAAAAAGAATTGTGTGACTTTTTTGTATTCAAATCTTAATCAATCGCATAAAGATTAAATGATCACAACAGTCTTTGAAAATCTTTACAGATGAATTCAGCATAACTTGAGTGAAAACACAAAGGAATATATCGTAATAGATGATTGATACTTTGGAAAACAGGAAAATGTGAGAGCGTAATAAAATCTTGTCTTCTTAAATAACAATTGTAGTATAATTATAAGAAAAATATTTTGTTTATCTTAAACCTTAAGTCAACTACCAAGCAATTCGCATTTTCCTTGAAAATTCATGACCTGAAGTCACAATCTTTGCGCCATCATTAAAATATCGATTTAAAAACCTCACTCGCCAATTTGGACTTTGGCTCGGTTGTCTCAATCTCACCACAGATTCAAGGTGTTTTCAACTCGGAAATGAGTAGTATGGCAAAAATGTGTAAAGCCGTCTGCATGAATAACACTTTTTTCATCCGCAACCCATCGATTTAAGTACACAAATCATTGAGTAATTTTGTGATGAAAGCCGCATGGCGGGCGAGAGAGAGAGTGAGCTGATAAAGTGTTATCAGCGGTTTAAGTATTAAAATGGAACTGTCCCGAGCGTGATAAGACACTCGCTGCCGCACAACTTTGAACGCTGAAATGTATGATCTTACGGCTTGTCTGGCTGTGATTTCCGCTGCTTTGACTCTTTCTGCATGATTTCCTCGGCCCGCGTGACACTCTTTGTTCGACGATATTTCACGCGATTCCCATCGAAGGCAGACCCATCGTGATCACCCATTTTCCCGCGCGAAATCACTCGATCAACTGCGATTAGCAAAAATTGATCTGCGCTGCAGTGTCGAAGGTGATGTTGATGGTCAGTGTCAGGCAATTATAAAGTTCCCACTGTAATTGGTGTTCTCACACTCCACAACACATGCTCAACGCTTTCCGTCTCAACTGTACCCTTTCGGAGTGTGGACAATCTTGAGCTGCGCGCGCGCGACTGACCAGCTCGAAATCTGACCGCTAACTGGCAGCCTCACATGGCAATGAAGCCTTATCTGTGAAAGCACTCGGAAAAATGACACAAAAACAGATACTAATTAATTCCTTTCTCCCTCCATCTCGGATTTATGCGATAAGACAAGCGGCAAGACTTGTCACTGCGGCAGTGAATCTCTCGGAACTATTTTCGCTGGCCACGAGAGAATCTCGTCTAGTCAACAGACGATTACACACTATTGTAAGCATTTTCATCAACTCTTTAATCTGTTTGTAAAAAGGCAAGGAAACACACACAGTGACACGTGGAGAGTCTAGACAAATCAATGTGTGGGTGAAAGAGTTGAGAATCTTGATTGTTTACTGGAATTGTTTACGTGAAATGTCAAGAAGATAAGCAATTCCTTCTGTAATGAATTAATTTGTTATGCATAATCTGTTTTTTTGGACTGTTTCAGTCTGGTTAGTGGATTCTAGTCCAAACTAAAAATAATTCTATTCAATGTTTCCGTGATAAAATTTATACCTATCAAAACAGTTTTTTTTCCTGGAAGAAACTATTCAAAATCAAAGTAGGCGGGTGTAGTAAATATATCTTACAAAGATATAACTTGTAAAAAAGTAATGTATTGACTTTTCAATTCCATCTCTGGGCATGTGAGATCTTTGAAGCACTCCAAATGGACTTAAGCTATTTTTGTAGAATCTCCGCTCGTCTTGGAGGGGAAATTGGACACTCAGAGGCACGTTCTAGCTCAACTTACCGCCTCCATTCAGCTCCGCACTTGGCGAAACTAATAAAATGCTCAGTTGAAACCTGACAAATGCAGAGGTGTTCGGTTAAACAAGTGGGAGTTGGGGCGCGAATGTAAATGAAAATTTCGCAAATTAATTAAACAAAACACTGTGAGAGAGATATTATTATGATGGTATTTTGAGGATTCCGCACACATGAATATTTTGCGCTAAAGAGTACCAGCGCGAGTGGGGGAAACCCCCGCACATGTATGGCGGATTGCCGGCTGAAAGGAGCAACAGCCACTCCACCGTGCGATATGGGGAGAGTTTTCCGCTTGGTTAGGATGAGCGTGTGTTTGCAGTAAATAATTTTTCACTAATTGAATTCCACAATATTGAATCGATTTAATATTAATTAACACAATTTATATTGTGAACAATATCATTTTGAAAATAATGACAGCAAATTAATTACATTACAATCACTCCCCTTTTTCCACGTGTATATTTCAGAGCAAAACATTTATCCATTTGTCACTAATTTCCTTTGTGGTTTATATTAGTGGCAAAAATATATTGTGGTTCTGTTCTGTTTTTACTTTTTGCAAAATTGATCTTTTGATTGAGCCTTTCTTAGTGTGCCAGCACAAATCCAGCAATTTTGCGTACATGAAGTATAAGGCATTATTGGAAATCCAATTGAAAAAAGCAAGAGCACACACGCTCTTCCAACCGTCCAATATGACTGAGTGAAAGAATTGAATTTAGCGGTGGGGAAGAGGGTTGGGAAATCCAATAGAAAGTGGTCAATTTTCCTGAGGAAACGCTTCGACAGAGCCCCAGAATGTTGTTGGATGAAAGAACAGCTTTTCCAATTTCATTTTCTCTCCCCATCCTTTTGGACATGCAATTGAAGGAGATTTAGAGGAAAATTTAAATAAGCTCCAAAGAGTTTGTTTGTTCTAACATGAGTACAAATCATCTCCGCCTTTGCCTTATCCAATTTCAACTCACCCTCCGGATTGATGGTGAGGTGCTTTTCCAACTCCATTAGCTCAACTTCACTGATGGAGAAGATTGTAATGAATTGATTGGGACGATATTATTTAGAGTCAGCCCGCCAATTATCGTATATCCAAGAGTGTAAAAACAATTCATCAGTGTTTGTCCTTCTGCGCAATGGGCGGTTATTCGGTTTCGATGGTTGACCGGCCAGAGTCAAAATTCGGTTTGTCAATCATTGCCCAATAAGCCATTGATAGACAGAGTATTCACTATGATGGTGAAACTAGTGGCTCGCTATCAACACAGTATAATATCTATTTTGCTAATTAAACCACATTAATTGCGAATATTGCTCTCTGAGTGGTGACGAACTCTCTTTGCTCGTTGTTCACTGATGGCATTTTCCTCATTAAAAGGGCCGTATTTCAGATGGCATCAGGGGAAAATGAAATAAAAGGACGATAGCGCGGAGCTCCTTTATGCGCTCATGTGGACGTAAACTATCCATTTTCCGAAAATGGAGCATCCCTAAACATTTAGAACTCTTTCGTGGGGAATATATTTAGTCGAAGGATGTTTAATGTCTGCGAATTAAAAAGATAGTTTTTTTTTAACATCTCTAGTGTTTAATTAACAAATTATTACTATTGAACTGAATTCTTTACTCTCCAGACAGAAATAAATCTGTTTTTCTATTTCATTGTACGACGCCTTACAAGAGTTAAGTTTCCCTTTCTCCAGTGGATTTTGTACTCGCTGTTATGACAGTGAATGATGGAAACGACGATATGCTTTTGTGGCTTTTTCCACCCTCAATTGCCACTTGAGTTTACTCACTTTTTGTGTGTAGATCTGTAGTGATATCATCATCGTTGTCCACTATTGCTGGGTAATGTGTGAGGAGGTCAAATAAAAGCATGAAAAGCAAGAAAAACATAATCTCATATCATTCATTGCAATCACAACGTATTATTCCACATTATCTCTGCGTTTAGTTCTTGTACATGTGTTCGCTTGGCCGTGGCTTCTGGTGAAAAAAGGACCTCACGGGACGGAGTGACAATGAGTGGGAGGAAGGTCTCTATCGTGTGGACAAATCGAGGGATGATGAGCTCCTTATGGTGACAGAGTCGCTTTGGGGAGGATCAAGTGATGCTGTGGTGATAATACCGTGGAATTGGTCCTATCATGCGACCAATAACAGATGGAACAGTGCGGAGTTAATCTTGGCGAGGGACGAAAACCCACCCTCGCAATTTCCTCCAGGCTGACGACGATTATTTGGTGTCCTCAGAGTGGACAAAATCTCTGCAACTTCCAAATCACTAAGACAAATCTCTCTCCTTGCTTGTTCCAGCAATTTTCTTCGGCTCCTTTTCTATTCCTCTCCCCCGCCCCGCAATTCCACTCCCAACCCACTGAATTTATATACAATTTGTGTCTGTAATCTCTTAACTATACACCACTTAAATTGACTGGCGGAGCGAATGGAGGGAGTCAACCAATCTTACCAAAGATGAAGTCAAATTGGCAAAAGTGTGCGATAATTTTTATTGAAGTGTTATGTTCCCCGGCGAGGGGAGACTTTTTCTATATCTGGGCAAATTGCTAGAAGTTGCAAGAACAGTAAATTCCATCGGATTGGAATGTTGCCGAGAGCGTGAGGGTGAATTTGCGTACAGCCACAGAGTCACTCACACCACGTGACAACAATCCAAACACCACCCACCACCTGCCGTATCCATTCACTTTCTCTTTTCTGTCTTTCTCGCGCGGTTTGTTAGAACCTTCGGCTTAGGCAGTTAGGTTCTAGACGTGATGTACATTGGGTCTCAAGGAACATTGCAAAAGAATGAACGGTGGGAAAACTCTCTCATTGGTTATCAAAAGAATTGCAGAAATCACAAGCGAGCAATCTAACTAATCAATTAGCTAAAAGAATTGAAATTAATGACGATCAAACAACTATCTCTTGTTGTTTTTTATCATAATTATCATCATATACTGTTCCAATATTTACCTTCGTACACCACTTACTGAGTGGTTCAGCCTTGCCTCAATCCCGACATCCATCGGGTAAATGTGTGGCCCGTCGTTTAAGAAGTGTTTGGGGACTGTTCCAAAGTCGGAATGGGTGACAACAAAAGACGACGCGACAGAGTGGGTGGGGGAGAAATCAAATAAAAAATACAACCACCCGGAATGGGGAAAAGCGAGGCGGGAAAGGAAGCGAGAGAGAAAATGCTTGATGAGGAGCAATACGATGAACATATAGAATTATTAGGTGGATCCCTGGCCACTTGGTGTGGCTGGCAAAAAGGAAAATGTTTGTGATGCTTCATGAAAGAATAAAGCGATAATAGCTTGAGATTGAGAACTGTGTAAAACCATTTAAACGAGGTAATTTCGTTTGGCAGAACAAAAGGGGATGGATTGCGGTGGGGTGGCGAGGGTGGATGCGTCGACGGAGACGTCGACGGGGCCTGGGGTGGAATTCACCCTCTCCATCCACACCAGATTTTCCGTCTGCATTGCCTGAGAAAGTGAGTTTACTTCTTCATTCTTCCTTCCTCCTCACTTTCTTCCTCCACATTGCGGGATACAATGTGGTGGATTCCCTTGTTATGTACTTTATACCGGTATTTACTATAAATTGAATGATTAGTCAATCGAAATCGAGGGTGAGAACATTTTTTTCACTCCTCCGTTCAACATTTTTGCACATTCCTCAATTTCTCTCTTCAAATTCCAGGGTATGGAAAAAGTATCATGCCTTAAGCTAGAACATTATCATAGATTATGTCAAAATTAAATTCACGAGCTTTTGTATTGCTTCATGGTAAACAAACAATTGACTGCCACTTTATTACGTCGGTACAATGAATAATTAGGCAGAAGCGGCTAAATTACCAGTGAAAATATGTCTAAATAATTAACAAATAAAATTAAGCTTCAATAGACCAGTTTATATGACGTGAAAACCAACTAATTAGGCATAATATTCCATTTTTGAAAATTAATTATGCACAATTATGAATTAATTTATCAAATAAAGTTTCGATTATTATTTACAAAATGACATAACCAACAGGATAGTGTGAGGTGAAATATATTATCTCTGCAAATACTCAAATTTCCTGTCAAATAATTTATTTTCAGTGGTTTCATACAGTCAATTGTGGAATACATAATTACAAAAATACTCATGTATACTTTGACAATCTTTCAAATAGACATTTAACAGAATTTTCAGCAGAAATCTTCTGCTATTTTTTGAGTCAATCACTTTTAGTCTTTCTCTAATTACTGTATATTTTGGCAATACTGGCAATCAACAAAACTACACTCGCTCAATTACGAAAATTGTTCCAGCGAGAAAAGTGCTGGGAGCGCATTAGAGCAATGAGGGTGTTTTGAAATATAAATGATTGCGTGATTTTTGCATTTCACAAGAGCCTTTTAATAAAATTAATTAGTTTAATTAATTTA